ATGGAACGCGGCGCCAGGATCATCCTTGCTAGTCATTTGGTGATCCCCTGTCACTTGGATCCATCTGTTTCTGTGGTCTTCGGTCTATTGATTTCATCCATTTCTGCGCCAGGATCTATTGCCTTTCAGTTCTGTTGATTGATCTCTTTGTTTCTGATGCCTCCATGATTCTTCTAACTTGATCTCCCTTATCTTAATGTTTTCGCTGTTTTCTTTCTTCTTTTACGGAGTTCATGTCTGATTATTGCTGTTTTTGGCTTATGTGAACTTTGTAACTGTTAGATCGTAATCTGCGTTTAATATGTTTAAGTTTGGATTTTTCTTGTCGAATAAGGCAAAATAGCAAAAAGAAAAAGGATAAACCATGGTAAAATTTTCAGTCATATGTGAGAAGCCAAGGATCTGCAATATAGAACCTAAAATTAGAATGAGTTGGCATGAGTCAGTAGTTACAGTTTCAAGTCTTTTAAATTCCTAAGTAGCTACGGATATAAAGGTTTCCTGTTTGGTTTGTGAGTACTCGGTACATCCAATTCCAATTTAGTGATCACATTCAAAAGGTAGGGCAGCTTATGGTTACTGGATTCAGACTACAATTTGGTTAGTTTATTGTCAGATATAACAAGTGTCTATCCATCAGGAAGATACATGTTATGTGCGCAACACATGCGACTTTGATGCGCAAGGAGTCCAGAGTGCAGGGGTTATTAACGAGGCATCAAATTGCACATTGGTATACAAGGACATCTTCGTTCTGCAACTGTTCAAAACTTTGATGCCCTTTGGGTTAACAACTGTTCAAAACCTTTTGGTCCCTTTTTTCTCTATGCCAAGTGCCTTTATTATTACAAAGAGAAGGCCTATTAGATACTCTCTATCGGATAATTTCTGTTTGTTTTGCCTTTATTATGTAGCGGTATCAAGATCTGCAGTGATATTCTCAATTAACTTCGTTGTTGAACACCATCAATTGGCTATTATGTGCTAAACCTATTAGTGTGTATATAGTGACAGTCTTAATGAGTGTTAGTTTATCTTGTTGACTTTTGGCTGTAGATCATGAATAATTCACAGATAGCATTACTTTGGTGCTGCAAGAATCATATGTGCATGATGTTTCTCTTTCGAACTTCTATCGTGTATTAGGCATTGTCTTTTTGTGACATCAGAAGTAATAATAAGCATTTTTTAATTGTTGTTGATAAGAAACCGTGGTTTTACAGTCCTCATTACATTGCTTTTAGGCTTCTCTACAGCATGCAGTATTCTCTAGAATGTCATGCTTCAAGGCTTCTCAAATTCATGTATGCATCCAGCGAGGAAATCACAGCTGATGTGATTTTTCTGTCATAGGTTTTATGATGCTTAACCCACTTATATAAGCAAATAGACTAACTTCTTATCCAGTTGTTTTTGCTCATTCATACATTCAGGCTATCAACGCAGAACTGATTGTATGGTCTAAATTTGCAGGGTCGCCCCAAAGGTGTCACTCCAAAGTACAGCTTGAAGCCAGTTGTCCCTAGGCTATCTGAGCTTCTTGGTGTTAATGTATATACTATTGTTTCCATGATACCACAGTGCTTCTTAAATATTTTGGTCTTTCTCTTCAGATCTAATTCCTAGGTTTGTTTAAATAGGTTGCGATGGCCAACGACTGTATTGGAGTGGAAGTTGAGAAATTGATTTCTGCATTACCAGATGGAGGTGTTCTGCTTCTTGAGAATGTAAGATTCTACAAGGAGGAAGAGAAGAATGATCCAGAGTTTGCAAAGAAGTTAGCATCATTGGCTGATCTCTATGTCAATGATGCCTTTGGCACTGCCCATAGAGCTCATGCTTCGACAGAGGGAGTCACCAAATATTTAAAGCCATCTGTTGCCGGCTTTCTTATGCAGAAGGTATTCATATGATCCCATCCTTGCAATGAAACATAAATCCAATATTTTTATTTGGAACATGTTAGATGCAATTTTTTTTTCTTTTCCACAAATGGTCTTGGGATTTATTTGTTTTAAACTCATTCTACGTTCAACTTGTTTTGCAATTGTTGTAACCAAGGTTCGTCGTACAGTGGCGTACCGTCCGATACGGGTGTCATGTACTCGTCCGACAAGGGACCGGTACGGGCGTTTCATACTGGTTTGTTGGTGTGCCCTATTGTATCATATGTTAGTATGTCGGTACGGTTCAGTATGCATTATATATTGATGGCTAGTCGGTACGCTAGTACGGACCGTTAAGACGAACCATGGTTGTAACTACTGAATATTTACAAAACTTTTCTTTGAGAATTATACTTTCTATTTGCTATCAGGATATATTTATTATTTTGTTCTGTGTCAAATGTTCATTGATGCTAAGATTTTATTTTGTTTTGTTTCAGGAACTTGATTATCTTGTTGGTGCTGTAGCAAATCCCAAAAAACCTTTTGCTGCGATTGTTGGTGGCTCTAAGGTTTCAACCAAGATTGGGGTGATGGAGTCATTGTTGGAGACGGTAGATATTCTCATCCTTGGTGGGGGAATGATATTCACATTCTACAAGGCACAAGGGTATTCTGTTGGTTCATCCCTCGTCGAGGAAGACAAGCTTAATCTTGCTACATCACTTCTCGAGAAAGCCAAGTCTAAAGGGGTGTCTCTCTTGTTGCCTACTGATGTGGTTGTAGCTGACAAGTTTGCTGCAGATGCAGAGAGCAAGGTTTGTCCATCTAACTTGTCAAATTGTATAAATATAATATAGAGCTACTGCTGCTGTTTTTGTTGTTTCGACAATTGCTGAAGCATAACCATAGATATAAAGACAAGTGAACATATTAGTGTGAACGGCGCGCATGCCAACATATAATGATATATATTTTTGTGGTACAAGCAATTTGATTTGTTCTTTTTGCAGATTGTACCAGCGTCTGGAATTCCTGATGGCTGGATGGGTTTAGACATCGGTCCTGATTCCATCAAGTCATTCAGTGGAACTTTAGAGAGCACCAAGACCATCATTTGGAATGGACCCATGGGTGTGTTCGAGTATGAAAAATTCGCAGTGGGAACTGAGGTAATTTATTGCAGACAAATGTGTATGCCAATGTATAAACTTCAAGTTTATTTGTACATGGAGTACATAATTTGGTCTATATCGAACAGGCGATTGCAAAGAAGTTGGCTGATCTGAGTGGATCAGGGGTCACAACCATCATCGGAGGTGGTGACTCGGTGGCCGCTGTTGAGAAGGTCGGACTTGCTGCTAAGATGAGCCACATTTCAACCGGAGGAGGTGCTAGTTTGGAGCTGTTGGAGGGCAAGACTCTTCCAGGTGTTCTTGCTCTTGATGATGCCTAAACCGAAATGGCAGTTCCTCCTCATCCTTGACTTTTTTGAAGTAGTTAATAGTTGCACGTTTCTCCATGTCCGTCGAGATCGTTTTCTCGAAGTTTTGGTAATGTGATCGAATAAGTTTTCCCTTGTGAGGTGAATTTCACTGTCTGTTGCTGAAACAAACCTTCAACTATTCCATGAGTTCCTTATGCGATACTGGTTAGGATTTGTGTGTTTTCAAGCTGTGAATGACAGATATCGAACATATGGTATGCACATCCCTCTACTCTTGAATTGAAAAGATGGATTACGCGGTACTGCCACCAGTGAGATTAACATTCAGGTGGGCAGGGACATGCTCTTTTACTGCTATTCAAATGTACATGTAATCTATCTAGTCTTTGCATCGTGATGACTGGATCCTCAAAATGTTAGGAACATGTAACCTTTGTTTTCATCTACCATTTTGTTGGCTGATAGTACCAACAAAGGTTATTTAGATGCACCTGATAATTCCAAAGTTATTGGATTCATATTCCCTGTTCCTTATTCTACTCTTTAAAGTTCATTTATCATCAACTGCTAGAAAAGAAATGTAATGTGAGCCACGTTCGGATTGGTGGAATCCACTTCAATCTCTCGTCGTATCACTTTAATGTGCACTATTGCAAGTTGTTAAATAATCAATTCCAACAACAACATGATCCTATCACTTTAATAATGCAACTATCGCAGCAATTTCTTAAAGCATCAATTCCAACAGCATGATCTCCTAATCTATATATAATTGAGCCCTAAGAGACGGATTAGCGTATAAATGTAATGCCTTGGGACCTCAAACCAACAAGCTCAACATTAAACACCCTGAATGAAATGTGCATCAACATGACATGACCATAAATCTCAATTGCAATATGAGCTCATATATACAGTTGGAGCCTTTTAAAGTAAATATTCAAGCAACTGTTATATATTCTTTCAAAATTCAAACTAATATTCACCCAAGTTTGTTTTTTTTAATGGACTTTAACCTGCAGAGTATTTATCATACACCAAGAAGAATAATATTTAAAACTAGGAAAGCATACATACACATATATACATATATATAGTTAAAATTTTTAGGGGGGCCTAATAAATCATTTCCAAACTGCACAAGGATGGATGTGTAAAAATCCTCAATTATTTAAAACCCACGTGCGTTGCTCCAAAGTTTACTCTCTCTCTCTCTCTCTCTCTCTCTCTCTCTCTCATTGACCTGCACACACGCACTTCCAGTTCCATGTCAGAGCCACATATAAAACATTTCATCCTTATCACTTTCCGTACACCTATATATATATATATATTTATATCACACTCTTTTTTTTTTTGTTGTTGTTTTTTTTTAGTTTTATTATAATTATTATTTTGAAAATAGAGTCAATATAATAATAAGAAGATAAATTTGAGGGAATGATTCCTGCGAATGAGGACAGCCCTTCGCTACCTGTTGAAGGGGAAGAGTTTCGCGTCCCGAGTGTTTTACCCGCTTCCACGGATTCCTCCTTCTGATAACCGAAAGCGCGGTTTTTAAGTTGGCTCCACATACTCCTTTGTGAGATAGGTGAAATATTCGGGTTCCTAGTTTCGGTGGATTTCTATCCTCCTACGGCCCTTCCTCGTCATAAAGACGCCCTCCGTCCCCCGTCATCGTCGCTTCATTCGTCCTCATAGGGGAAGGGTAGCGATCGTCCCTCTGTTTTCTCGGGTGCTACGTCTCGAGCAAAGACCATGGCGAGTGGTCTCCTTCGATCCAAGGTTCGATTTCTCGATCCTCCAAGCCTTCCTACCTCTTTGTAGATTAGATTTCTTGTACAGTATTTCAAGAATACTTTTCTTGTTCTCTCTTTTTGGGGGAAGATATCAATTGGTACTTCAAGATTCCTCTTGCTTCCTACTTAAAACGACTTAAAGTTGTTGTTAATTTTTAATCCGATTCTGTTGGTAGCCGAAAATTTGATTTTTTTGTTTCTGGTATTATTGTTTTTGGAGCTTTTATTCTTCATACTCGGATACTTCATGCGAGTGCACGATCAAGGTTCTTTGGATCTTTTCCTCTTCTATATGTTCTACTGTATGTGATTCTTTTCTCTTGCAATTTCTAGATGGGCCCTTTTGGATGCCTTTTAGTTCGAGTATTTGGACGTCTACTTGCTTTTATGATTCTCTTGATTTAATCTCAAGTTCTGTTTTTTCATAGGCTGGCATGGCCATCAGGAATGTAGCAACGTTGCAGGGGCATGCCCCTCAATGCACAACTTATGCAGCTTCAAGGCTGATGAGTTCGACGGCACCTCTTCAATCTGAATCAACAGAAGAAAGAGGGTACGAATAATGTGTTTTCTGTAAAACAATTTCAACTTGGCACATGGTGCACTATCAACTCCTTGGATCTGCTTGCAATGCACTATGGGAACGTATTATGGCTTAATGCTTGTGTTATCAGTTGCTTTTTAATCTCATATTGCAATTTTTGTTATGTTAGGTTCAAGGGACACGATATGTTAGCACCGTTCACTGCTGGATGGCAAACCACTGATTTGCATCCTCTAGTCATCGATAAATCGGAGGTACTGTGTTTGATGTGTTGTATAGTTGGTATTGAATCCATCATTTTGAGGTTTCTAGCAATATTTACATATATACACAAAATATTGAAAGCCATGTGTGTGAGAGAAGTCACTAAATAGCTACAGTGCTGATGTCATTGTGCTGGATTAATTATGAAGGATTTTGCTCGCATGGATAGCCCTCTTTAACAAACTTACCACGTACCCATGCAACATGGAATTAAGCTATTCAAATATAATAAACTTCATTAAATGGTAAAAGTACTGTTACAGTCACATAAATATTTTTTTTTCTTTATTAAAAAGTAATGACAACTCAACAGTTGTTAACTACACCGTACTATTAAGGGCGATCATTGCCGAGTTCACAATCATACATGGGGCAAGATGCATGGTCTCACAACAATTTTCGGCTGCCAGATGAATGATGTGCATGGTTTGTTAGGTGCATGCAGCCATGCACACATAGAGTTGGTGAAATATGACAATCATGTGCAAGGTGCAATCCGTGGACGCACAATGTCATGTGTGTGCTCACAAATAGTTGCATGAAGGCCAAATGTGCTATGTGTTCAATTCATGGGTTGACAAGCAGGAATATGAACAATCGCTTAGTTTGTATGTATTCCGAGTGTGCTTTTACCAATGGGATTAGAATATTCCATCCAGTTAAGAACATTTGGTTGTTGGTTATTTATGTGAGAAGGTTTGGTTCTCAACATACTGCTTTTTTTGTTCATTATTGCAAACATATAGCACTATTTATCTGACATACCATGGGATAGATATTTAATCATGTGATGAACCAGTCAATTTTTTGCTAAACAGCTTAATGTATCCTGGTTTGTACCTCAATTGTCAAATATGTCTACTAAAATAAACTTTGTAAAAAAAATAATCTTAATGTTTTTTTAATGTTCCTGTTTGTCCAAAGTCGTAATTTACTCCCTATAACAAGCTGCAGGATTATAGATTATAGACTTGCTGCGATAGGAATCAATTATGTTTGAAGAAGCTTATTTTCTTCATCAGGCTTTTCACAGTTTCATATTGGATTGTTAGTGTTGACTGCTATGTAGATCCTTTGTTATTTGTGGTATAGAGTGACAACCTGCACACACATGCAAGCCATGAAGAACATTTGTGATTGTTAAAATGTTGAAGGTTGTAACAACACTTCGCTCTGTTTATTGGTGATTGTAACCACATCAATAGGATTATTGGTGTTTTACATACTATTATAATATGCTTGAGATTCTGTGTAAGAGGTTTTGTATGCAATATAGTTTTATTTTTAATGTTTTACTAATGTCCTCCTGCCAAGCACTTAAACGACAAGTGAACAATGGTTGTCTGGCAATTATCCTGACCTGACATTGCAGAAGCAGTCTAGTACAACATTTGTTTTATTTAGTAACAAGTTTGGGACTCAAAGCTATAGCCTTCCTACTGTTGCTTTTGTAGACCTAGTGATTATATCACCATGTAAGCAAAGATCCTTGTTGCTACTTCATTGATGAATTTGCTCTTTCTTATACACTGTATTAGGTCTATTAGCAGGTTTGGTTGTCGCTATAAATGTTAATCAGCTTCTCTATAGTGTTCATCTGTGTCAGAGAGGGTTAAATTTTATGTGTTTATCAGGGGCAGTGGATATTAGATATCATCAACATTGACTCTTGACAACATCTTGCAACTATTTTTAGAATAGAATTGCTAGTATATTCTGTATTTATGAGAAAAAGTCTTGTTGGATACTGTAAATTTTGATATTGCATATGAAAATTTGTGGCAACATGATACATGGTAGCTATTGGTGCATGTGCATCCCTCTTAAATTTTCTTAATTTTGTATTTGGAAGCAGTTAAGATAATCATTATTACAATCTTGTTTCATGACAGCTTAAAACTCTCTCTCTTTTAATTGTAATATGTAGATTTTACTATTTAAAAGTTGTGGCGAGGCAAGATAAGAAATTGAAATTTCTGCCCCCCTAAAATTCATGAGTTATAGTGTCACCTATATCATTTGCAGTCATTTGGTAGGTTGCTGCTGGTTGAAAATTGACAGCCTTATCTTTGAGTTGTAGTGGATGATTTTACTTTGTGATTATCTCTTATGGGTAAACTATTGCAGGGATCCTATGTTTATGACATTAATGGGAAGAAATATCTTGATGCTCTTGCTGGGTTATGGTGTACAGCTTTAGGTACCACAAGTTTCCTTATGCTGTCTTCTTATTTTTAAGAGCATTTCATCTGCAAGTTAAAATCAGACATTCTGCCTAATTATTTGTTTTAGATATCAGTCTAATTATTTTTAGAGATACTTCAAACATATCATAATATTTAAAATATTCTATTGTCTGAACTTGCTACTTCAATCTTTTTAGGTGGAAATGAACCTCGGCTTATTGCTGCAGCAACTGCACAGTTAAATAAATTGCCATTCTATCATTCCTTTTGGAACCGTACCACAAAACCATCCCTGGTATGAATAACCTTTTCTGGTAGTAGTTCTCAGCATTTTTTTAGTTTATCCCAAGTTCTTTGCTTAATTCTCCTGGCTTGATAGGAACTTAATTTTGTCTTAATTGATAGTATGTGAGATAAACAGGAAGGATGTCCGTTTCTCCTGTGGTTATCTTGTAACAGATGTTCTAACTTGGTGTTACTGTTTCATACCTACTATTTTCAGTTTTGCTAATGGCATGTTTCTCTCAAGTGTTTATTTACACATGCTACAATTTATTGACAGTTGAAATAGTTTGTTGCTTTTGATTAGGATCTTGCAAAGGAAATTCTTGAGATTTTCACAGCTAGAAAAATGGGAAAGGTCTTCTTCACCAACAGTGGTTCAGAAGCTAATGATTCCCAGGTTAGTTTTTATTTGCTTGAATGATCGAACCATAATTTTAACAAACAGTTTTTCAGGTCATTCTCTATGTTTCTGGTTCAGTATACACATTGATAGTTTCAATACTTTGCTTTCAGAAAGAAATTCGCTTCCGTTTACATGGTAGTCATTTAATAATACAGCTAGCTTCTTTGAGTTTGATGATTGATTAGGATCGACAATTCATTTAATAATATAGAATTCTTACTACTGCTTCAACTTAATTTGGACACAAAATAAATCATTTATGTGGTGATAATGTTTATATACTAATAATATTCATGGTCTTCTTGGAGAACCAGATCTCTCTTTGATATGTTTAGCAGGTCCTTTTATAATATTTCAACATTTTCCCATCACTATTAGTTTCAAACTTCTGTGGAATTATCTGTTGATTTTTGACAGTCATCTTATGTTCTTCTCTTCTTGTGGTGTGCTGTTTTATGATGACTACTCATAATAACGAAGATATACATAATATCTTTTTAAGAGAGTTTTTCCTACATGGACACTTGCAACTTTTTATAAGTGAATAATTGTTTTGAAAATCACTTATATCTCCTTCATACTTACCTTGGTCCTTGATATGAATTTGCTATCTTACGATGCCTCGTTCAAGTTTATTGAAACTAAATTCTATTTTGGCAATTATTTTGATGACATGCCATATGATTGTGGAAGATCCAGAGGTAGAAGTTTTTATTTTTGACAGAAAATTCTTTCTTCAGGTGAAGCTGTTATGGATTTGCTATTAAATGTTTTGAACAATTGTTTGGAAAATTACTCTGGTCTTCTGCAGACTTACCTTGGTCCTTGATATAAAATTTCTATCAATAATTTTGAACAATTGTTTTGAATATCACTTTGGTCTCCTGCATGGTTGCCTTGGTCCTTGATTTGATTTCTGCTATTTTACGATACTTGGTTCAAGATTATTGAAAATAAATTCTATTTTGACCATTTTTATGTGCTGCCATATGATTTTGTAAGATCCAGTGGTAGAAGTATCTAATTTTTGGCCGGAATTACTTTCTTCAGGTGAAGCTGGTTTGGTACTATAACAATGCATTGGGAAGGCCAAACAAGAAGAAATTTATAGCACGTTCAAAATCGTATGTTGTTTACCTTATTACTTTGGTCATTCTTTACTGTTTCTCAATGTGATTCTATTGGACCTGTTTATAGCAGTAGAATCTACCAACATATCTAATATCTCAATGTTGGAATTTTTGCAGGTATCATGGATCAACATTAATATCTGCCAGTCTTTCTGGGTACATATCAACCATTTTTAATGTTCCTGTTTCAGAACTTTTGCCTCACAAGTCATGAGTTATTTACTGTGTTGTTTGCATCGGTAGTCATGATGTGAATATAATCTTTTTTTATTCAGCAAACTTGCTATTTGTTATCAGTTTGGTATTTTCATGCCAAAAAATGTTCTACGTCGTTGACAGTTTTCTCTACTTGTCCATTTGCAGTCTTCCAGCTTTACACCAGAAGTTTGATCTGCCAGCACCATTTGTTTTGCACACAGATTGCCCTCACTACTGGCGCTTTCACCTTCCTGGTAGTTATCGTATGTTAGAGATAATCATTTTTGAAACATCAATTATTTATTTTTTAAACTGAATATTAGGCGAGACGGAGGAGGAATTTTCAACTAGGTTGGCAAATAACTTGGAGAATCTTATTCTGAAAGAAGGACCAGACACGGTAACTGTTCCTTTGTCACACCCACTTGATGATACTTTTGGATGGTTATTGAGAATGTTTATGCTAATCTAGTAGTTGTTGTTTTCAGATTGCTGCATTCATTGCTGAACCTGTCATGGGTGCTGGAGGTGTTATACCTCCTCCAAAGACATATTTTGAAAAGGTCAGTTTAGGGGTGTCTCTAGTTCCTTTGGTCAGTACTGGAAACTCCAATCCAATTTAAGTCTGTTTTTGCTAATTTTGCATTTAAGGTTATAAATAATGATTGAAGTGTTTAGCTGTCCAATCAAGTACCTGTATTGAAACATCTAGTTCAAGACCAGTAAATAAATATTTCATTCGTATTATATAATATTTTATTCAATGATAGGGGCTGTTAAAGTTGGTATACTGCCCGGGACACTGGTATTATACCAGTTTAATAGGTCACTAAACTGGTATCGGACTGGTAACTAAAACCTTTCGTTTATCAGTGTAATCCTAAATAAAACCTACATAGCCCCACATTAGGAATTTAGCTTACCAAATTTCTGGCACTCTCTGCACTGTTGCATGAGGATTTTCTAATACCAGTTTCATTTCCTTCTGTCATTGCAGTCTAATTTACAGTAACTTTTTCAACTGGGAAACATTCCTTGTTCCCTTGAAAACAATATGATTGCATCATGACAGGACCGCATAAGTTATTTACCTGCCAATCATGTGCATTTTTCCATTAAAATGTCTAGTAGTTGTTGAAAATCTCTTTTATCGGTGTAATTAGTAAAGACTAGTTTACTAGATTTATTGGTTCAGAAGATAAAGTCAAACATCAGTATGCATATCCGCAGACTGTTGCATGAGGAATTTTTAGTTCCACTTCAAAATCCTTTTGTTATTATGTAGCTTTTATAGGGAACATTCTTTTTTGCTTTGAAAATGATGAGCGTCTTAACAGGATTGCATACATTATTCACATGCCAATCATAGACATCTTGCCATGGAAAGGTCTAGATATTGTTGGAAATCTTTTTCGTATGGTGTAATTAGTAAAGACTAGGTTACTAGATTTAATGGATCAGAAGACAAGGTTACATATCTGTGACTCTTGGCACCATTTTGTTATGCTTCAGTTACAATACCAGTATACTATCCTTTGTCCTTGTCTCCAGCTGGTGCAGTAGATCAGTTATGATAAACTGTTTTAACTACAAATATCAAGTATACATTCAAATTTATAGTTCCATTCTCTTATAAATAGAGTTGACTCATCTCTCTCAAATTTCACAACTGTGGAAGGTGAGATTTTTGTGAATATGTTTCTTGGGACCTTATATATATTTCTATAGGAGGTGAGACTTCTATCTGTTATAAGTTTTCTTTTGCCAGATTTGTCCTCATTTACTATATCAGGATATGCACTTTAATGCTTAATTTCTTTGATGAATTTTCCAGTATTCTAAGGTTCATAAGTCTTTCTTATTTGTTTGTAGATGTATATGCATACTTGTGATGTTTACATTCTTTTAACTGTAATATGCATCTTTCTTTTTTCCTTATCTTTCCACAGATTCAAGCTGTTGTAAAGAAGTACGATATCCTTTTTATTGCAGATGAGGTTCCTAAACACCAACCTATATTTACCATAGAAGATAAATGCCAAAAGCTCTTCTCTTCTTCTCAAAGAGAAAGGAATCCTCTTTGAGGTCCTTATTTAATACCAAATGGTTCTTATTTATGTTTCAGGTCATTACTGCTTTTGGAAGGCTAGGGACTATGTTTGGATGTGACAAATATAAGATCCAGCCTGATCTTGTCTCCATAGCGAAAGTGAGTGAAAGTATTAATCAATTGAAGTATCCTAATTCAAGTATTAATTTTACTTATACTGATGTTGTAGGCTCTTTCATCAGCATACATGCCAATTGGTGCAACACTTGTTAGCCCAGAAATAGTTGAAGTTATACATTCACAAAGTAACAAACTCGGTAAGGTTCATAGCCTTTCTAGTTAAAAAAGGTTCCCCCTTTTATCATTTTATGTTTTTCTCATTTCTAATTGTGCTTTTCTTTGTTTTCATTAGGTTCATTTTCTCATGGATTCACATATTCGGGGCATCCAGTTTCTTGTGCTGTTGCTTTGGAAGCACTTAAGATTTATAAGTGAGACCATCTTTCTTAGCATGCTTTTTTTTTTTTTTTCATTTTCGTTTGGTTGGTAACGAATGCAACAACCAGACAATGCCCTGATTCTTTGAGGATGGATCTTTTCCTGCCATTTACCTATTTAGAGCAATATTAGTAGTCAAAATAACAGCCAGCAAATTGTTTTTGTTATTTTCAATAAAATCTTCTTACATATTCCTCTTGTTTTCTCTCATTTACTAGTTCTAATTGAAGATTCAAAATAAAGTTAGCATCTAAAAGTAATCAACAAATGAAGTTAGCAGAAAAAACCGTTGATGCTGAGCATACATACAAACATGAGGAGTTTGACATGATTTGCGTCCTTTGAAGATTATGGGGTTTTCAAATCTCTAATATTCTTGATCATGTTTTGCAGGGAAAGAGAGATACCTAGCCATGTGTCAGCGATCTCTCCCAAGTTCCAGGAGGGCATCAGAACCTTTTCAGGAAGTCCCATCATTGGTGAGGTACACTTTTTTTCTAGCAAAAAGAAAACCTGTGTGTTTATGTTATTTTTTTCATTCTGAATTATTAACCAACACCTATTTTATGTTCTAATCGGCAGTAATATACTCATTTTATATGAAAACATATATAATTGTGCAGATACGTGGGACAGGGTTGATTCTTGGAACCGAGTTCAGTGACAACAAATCTCCAAATGACCCATTCCCTCCTGAATGGGGTGTGTTGTAGCTTGATGGATTACAACCGTTCAATTCAGATATGCAGCTAAGTTTCAGCATCTGCTGCGGGCACAAGTTGTAACGATTTCTGTGGTGGTGATTTCAGGAGTAGGTGCAATCTTTGGGTCAGAGTGTGAGAAGCGTGGGATGCTGATTCGAGTTGCTGGGGATAACACGATGATGTCTCCTCCCCTCGTAATGACCCCAGATGAAGTTGATGAAGTAAGATAAAATGAGTCTTTCAGTGCTTGGTCTTCTTCATCATCTCTTCTCTTTTAAGTGATGACCAGCTTAGCTTCAGAGGACTCAGGCTTTTGTTGTTTCTTCTGTCGTTGCAGTTGGTAAGCATCTACGGAGACGCGCTGAGGAGCACGGAGGAGAAGGTGGCAGAGCTGAAATCCAAGAGAACACAGTAGGCAGAGCCAATCATCTCAAGTGTTTGGAGGGAGCATCGTCATCGTCGGATTGGCTCCTCCATCATCCATCCGTTGGTCGCTGTAAGTTAAACGTTTTAATTGCTTTGTAATGACCCTATTATTGCTTTTAATAAGAGCATGACACTGGTCATGTTGACATTCTCGCATATTTTTTTTAGTCGTTTATTGAAATTATTGCTGTCTACTTTACTTACTACTACCTGAGGTGAAATGCATTTTCACCTTAGCTAGAAATATGCTACGTTTTCCCATATTTGTTGCTGTCTACTATATGCGATTTTCTTAGAAAAAATATATAATATTTTTAATTTAAAAATACCTAAATTACCTCTTAAAAATTTGATTTCATCTGTTATAATATTTTTAGCCATCACAAAATAAAAATAAATATATATTATCGAGTTCACTTTAAAATATTATAAATAATTTAAATAGACTTCTAACATCAACCAATCTAACTCTATAACAGCCAAACTAATTACAAGTCTAAAAATATATTATTATAATTTTCTATAAATAATAATAATAATGATATAATATTATTTTTTTATTAATATTTATACTATATTAAATACATTATAAAAACTAATAAAAATTATAACAGTTACGATTTTTGTAAAAAAAACGAACGAAAATATTTAATAAATTTTTTTTCAGGGATATTTTAGATATTTTTAAATTAAAGATATTGTTTGAAAAAAAAAGATAATTTTTAAGAAATCATCATATATATATATATATATATATATTCGATGGCTTTAAAGAATTAACAGAAACCACATATTTATTACCATACTTCACGGCAACGACGGTAAGCGAGACTTCTGCCTAACACGCTAAAAGCAGGAGGGACCTAAAAACAGAAAACGAAAACCGCATGGAGGACGCAACAGAAGGCTTAGAAGTCGAAACCGCCGGCATCGTCGAAGCCGGCGTCGTATCCCGCGTCGTAAGAACCCGCGTCCGACACCATATCCCCGATGAGGAGGCCGCCGATGGCGCCGCCCAGGAGCCCCGCGCCAAGCCCCGCCCCCATCCCCCCCCCGAACTTGTTCTTCTTCGGCGGCTGCGCCGCCCCGTATCCGTACCCCGCCTGCGGCGGCGGATACCCGTACCCTGACGGAGGAGGAGCGTAGCCGTACTGCTGGGGCGGAGGCGGGTACCCGTACCCGGCCGGTGGCGCAGCGTACCCGTACTGCGGCGGCGGTGGGTAGGCATGTGGGTAGGGCTCAGATGGGCCGGGCGGCGGGTAGGCGGTTGCGGGCTCACCGGTCTTGAAGTCCTTCCCCGGCGGAGGATACGCCGGGCCGCTGCTCCCTGGGGCCGGGTTCACCGTTACGGGGTTGGCGGGCTTGGAATCCGTCCCCGGAGCGGGGTAGCCTGCGGGCGGAGGAGGTGCTGCGGCAGGGTACGCGAAGGCGGGCTTGGAATCCGTCCCCGGAGCAGGATAGCCTGCGGAGGGAGGTGCCGCGGCAGGATACGCGACGGGGGGCGGCGGCGCGTGGTCGGCCGCGGCGGCAGGGGCGTCGAGGAACTTGTAGGAGAGGTTGAGGACGCCCTTGGGCTTGCCGGATCCGGTCTTGCGGACCTGGTAGCTGACGAACTGGGGGCCGGACGAGGGCTTGCCTCCGCCGTCCACAAGGAGCTCCTTGAGGGGGATCTGCACCTCCCCAACGTCTCGATCGCCGAGAGTGCGCTCGGCACGGAGGAGGACGTGGAGGACGAGGCGCCCGGCTGCGGCGGGATCAACGGGGACGTAGAAGCGGAGGGTGGCGTTCCAAGAGGGGCTCTTGCCGCCGTTCTTATCTGTCGGAGTACGCTGGCTGGACCGAGGATCGCCCGCGATGGAGACCACGGCGTAGACGTCCATCTTGGAGAAGACGTTGACATCGTTGAGGTCCTTGGCCGAGATCAGCGTCATCTCGATCGTCCTATACGCCGCCATCCTCACTCTGTCAATCAATCAATCACACGCAGCTCCGATCTCCTCTTTCTCCCCTCTCCCGATTCCAAGAATTGGATCTCTTTGCAGCAGAAGGCGAAGTCGTCGTCGACGACGAGATGACTTTTTATCGGGATGGGAAGAATCGGAAGTCGCAGCGATATTTCCGAAACGATGACCGCTTATATAAACGCGTGATACCATACGTTGCTCCCCAAGATCATCTCATCCGACGTGGCTATTTTTAAGTGGATGGAACACGTGGGGCCTATTAGTGAGTCACCCACCGAGGAGATGTTGAATTATTAATGCGGAATATTCAAAGTATACGCGTATTCGACGCGGACAATCAAACGCCCCATCCACGTTGATGCCTCCTTTTTTTTTTTTTCTTCCTATTATCATTTATTTTTAATTAGGAAAACTAAGGGTTGGATATAATAATTAAAGTGATCTTATGTTAAGAATTATATACAAGTCGATCCAATTATTGACAGTTCATCAAATAGTTATGGAGAAGAATCTAATTCCATGGCCAAATATATCGCGCTTACCCTTTTTTGAGTCTGGAGACCTCTGGTAAGGGTAAGTTTGCGGCAGTTGGATGATTTTGAGACGATTTAATTTTTTTGAAAGCACTTGAGTCAGCAATTGAGTGGAGGTAATCTTACCTGAGTTGAGCGTACTGTCCCCATCGTCAGAGTCTAGTCACCGCAGTGAAGATAAGCCCTCCGTGCCATGGACGATTTTCCAAAGATTTATTTTTTCCGAAGGCAGTTTGTGCCCTGTGTTCTTGGTGGTAACCTCACCGTAAAACATCGGACCTTACGCCCTCCCTCTCATCTCCTCCCTCCACAAAGATCCCACCTTTACCCGTCTCCACTGCCGCCGTCGTCCTACTGCCCGGTCAACGCCGTCGTCCGCTGCCATTGGCGCCGCGCCCTCCTTTAGCCGCAGCCGTCTCCCACCGACGATGGCGAATCCGCTACCCCCATGCCCCGTGATCCGAGTTCCACTAAGGCCCAAGGTGTGACCACCAATGGGAGATTGGAGGGAAGCATTAGGGATGTCCTCAGCAAGTAGGTGGAGCTTGTTCTCCTCCTACCGGACGAGGACCGCATCGAGGTGAAGTTGTTTTGTCGAGGGATTAGACCACGCGCGGAATGCTTGCTTGAACTTTGGCTGTGACCACTTCGATATGTTGAGGTAAAGATGAAATCTTGAGACGCTCATGATCTTTATACTGAACGTTGTTGTTATCTGGACAGGATGAAAGTATAATTTGGTGTTCCGAGGATGAAGTTGTACTTAAAAGAATGTACTTTTAGGTGTGTCTCTGATGTCTGATGATGCAAGTAGCAGTAAACAGGCAATGCATAGACTGCATACTCAATTTAATGTGCCTGGTTAATTTCTTCCAGTTAATTTTACTGCTGTTAAGTCGTCAATATATATAACTCGTTTCAAACATTTTTCTTGCGGAGTGGGATGCGTATATAATTTTTTCTTCAGTGATGAAACTAATTAACGTTTTAAATTTGAGAGATCTGGTTGCTGATGAGATAGATGTTAACCACTCAAGATTTCCATAAGTAGGTGTTTGATGTATGTACTGTTGCCTTTGAGCAAATATTTTATCGAATTTGTCTACACATGTCATTTTTTTGAAAGTGTCAAAAGGCTGTAATTATGTTTTTGAATGGTCAATCGGTTGTCTTGCATTCGTAAGTAGAAGAGCATACTCATGGCTTTCTAGAAAAAGGACATTTTGCTCGGTACCAATCAACATCCTTTTACAAATGCAAGACAACCAATCAACCATTCAATAACATCATTGCAGCCTTTTGCACTTTCAGAAAAATGTGTGTGTGATCCTGATCTGAGTCAGCTGATTTGGGTTATGATTGGCTCAAAACAAGCTCAAAACTATAGATTTTTCCAATACAGAGTCTTGTTCAGTCCCTGCAACTTATGGTAGCATTGATCTTGGTCTCTGCAAATACCAGGTCAAAATGGGTTGATCCTGGGTGATCCCAATTGATTCTGATACTGGCATATTTCCTTTGTTTGGATATCCATCTTCAATATGCAGAATTGACATTATAAATGTAGCATTGACTTCCTTTAGTAGGTTAATTTGTTTACAACGTTTCTCTATGTAGATTTTCGATAGATTTAGTAAGGGAGGGTTCCAGCAGATTTATAAGGTACCTCTTTCTTGTTGAATCCATCAGATGAAATAAGCCGCAAAGTTTTCATTTTTCTTTTTATGTGCTTTGATATCTCAGGTATGTAGTTCCTGCAAATCACTTCACAAAATCGATATATTATAACTCCTAATATTTTGTTAACTTAATTTCACAATTTTAAAGTCATCGAGGATCTAAAACTGTTGATCTTATTCCTTAGGTGCAACTATTAAAACTATTGGTGCATTCTTTCTTGGTGATCACAAAAATCCCCTGATGAGTGTGCAGAAAAAAGCAATTATGTCACAGGACCAAACCGGAGATGCCCACCAGAAGGCCAGATGTTTCTACTGCATGGAATTTTGGCTTATGACAATGATGGTGCAGTTTTTGCTGCCTTTTGCAGATACTCGTAAAAGTGATGATAGTTCTTTGGAGAGCTGGCCTTGTAGGGGAAATGGTCTGTGATTTGAAATGATACTAGCTGTCGTGGCATGGTCCCGGGAACCCTATAATGAGGTCAGTACTTAATGGAAGTTGATGAAATGAAGTTCACCTTTTTCATTCAAATGATATCGGATCTGATAATTTCTGATGATGAAGAGGAAGATGATGTGGATAGTTACAAGCTTGACAGCACTCGAGCAAGTAAAGTTCCTTAAAAGGATTATTTGAACAAGGTGGCAAGGATTATTTATGACTCTGAGGACGATGATCCTACTGATCATCCTTATTGTGAAACTTCCTATTCATGCCATAGATTCTGCAGAGAGAGCTGGAGGCTTAACTCCAAACTCTTAGGGTCTTATGATTGAGATGATGACTGTGAACTAGGTTCTAATTCTGATGAAATGGATGGAAATTTTTGGTCTGAATTGGGAAAATTAAATGGGCTAGTAAAGGAAGAGCCCATTTAGAATATAGAGTCTGATGATGATGGCAACCTGTATGCTGATGGAAATAGGTAGAGATGACATTCCAGTCATTAAGGATCACAAGAAAAATCGGGAACTGCTGTTTCTTTTATCAGTGGATGCGATGGTCTATCTTCTAGTAAATTTCACATGCATAAAAAGGGTCTGGAGCTGACTACAAAAACTTGAGAGGAAATGATGGATATCATCACTTTGATGGATGGTGCTGTAGAACATGATGCTCACAGAGAAACGAAAGAGGGATGGAGATGGAACATGATCGTCCTGATTTCTGGAGCAAATTTGATGGTCATTTATGAGAAATGATGATACATTCCTGATCGATCCATTAGCTTTGTTGATGATTATGGGCCTCGACGTAAGCAACACTTGAAGGAGAGTTGCTGCTGTCCTATCTAAAGAGGCTGAGTTCTCTTATGTATCGAAGACATGACCGAAGCTAACTGTTGAATAATCATCTTTATCTTCTGGATGATTAAGGAGTCTTGTTTAGTTTCTCCACTGGGCATGGAGACATCAATTTGATGACGATTCTTTCTCGCCATCTTTCCAGTTAATATGAAATCTTCTCAATGAATTTTTGTCATTGTGCTGAGAATTCTTTGGCAAATTGATGCAATATTCTGTTCTTGTTGTTGTATGTTCACTGATACCAATCACATGAACACTGGAGTATGTCTAATTCTTTGTTGTTCAGTTAAACAGTCTGTCAAGTTCTTATTTTTAGAATTCTTGAGCTGCATCAAAGAACAAACGTCAGCAATCTTTATGGATGAATATTTGTCTATCAATCTCCTGTTTCATTGGTTCTTCACTGCTGCAAAATTTGAAGATGAGGTCGCAAGTAATGTGATGTCTTCCTCCTTGTGATTGCTAATTGTGAGGTGAGATTTTGCATAAATATGTTGAACCAAGAGAGAGAAGATTAAAAAAGGAAAACAATGTTGAATCATGTAGCACCAGCATATATCTTGATCCTTAATTTCCAGTCCTTAACCTCAAACCTTCGATTTCAGTTTTTCGCTTAATATCTAACATCCTAAAGGTCACACCATTGTTATTTCTTCCATATATACCTCTTTTTTTTTTCTTCTAAATGTAATCCAATCACATTATACTTGGATTAAGGATATATTCAAGCAACAAAGTGGTCATTTTTTGTTTCCCAAAATCAAGAACCAGAATCAAACCGTCGATTCCGGTTCGAGCAGCTCCGATCTTAAGCTCGAACTGCTAATTATTTATTTATTTATTTATTAAAAAATATAAAATATATATATATAAAATAATTCATAATTTTTATTTCTAAATTTTGAAGAAAAAAAATAGATTTTAAAACTTAATCAGTGTAATAACTTAAAAAAGTTGATATAAAAAATAAAATAAAATAATGATATTTTATATTAAATTAAATAACTCTATCAAGATTCAAATCTAAGTTAATAATGGGTGTTAGTTAAATCTAGACTCTATTTGTGTTTTATTGTTATTTTATTAATGGGTTTGAAATTAGAATCGTCGATTTCAGTTTTTTTAAAAATAAAAAATGGAAACCAAATTATGTTTCGATTTGGGTTCAGAGACAAATCGTCGGACCTATTCGATTTGGTTCGATCGAATCGGTTCGAGGGAAACAGTGGTCGAGACCAGCACAAGGAGTACCGAAACTTGGCTGGAAAGGAACCGCTCGCATCTGCTTCCATCCCATCCCATCGGCGAAGCACAAGGCATCAACGTGCACAGTTATCCTCTCTACGTCAACCAGAGTCCATAGAGTATACGGTAGCAGGTCGAGGGAGATGGGAGACCTCAAAAGACACACCAATCATGGAGCTATCGACGCAAGTCTTTTTATTCCCTCTTAGCCAACACGTCCGATTCATTCAAATCACACGCCGACTTCTCCACTGGCTGTACGGTCGCAACGCTGCGTCAGCCGAATCATCTTCCTCCTCCGAAAGCACGCTGATTCCAAGAACAAGTTGGTTTCAGCTGGTTCCGTCAGCTTTTTTGCTTCTCTCTTATCCGCCGTGGATGGGGTATCACCAAAAGACGTAAGCTTTATGTGGGAAGAGGAGGGGAATAAGGCCGGCCCGCGTTTTCCGGTGGTCTCTGATGCCGCGAACCGACATTGCGTGCGTTCCACCACCACGCTTTCTTCGTTGTGATCTTTTGGTAAAGGTGGAGTAGAGGCTCTGGCTTCGCATATTCTCCCACTGTGCCGCCGTTCCCACCGGTTTGATCTTTCTTGCTCACAACTTGTTTGTGGAAATTCCGAATCGTAATTTCTTATGCTATCTCCCTATATATTTTACATATATTTATTTACGTTACGATAGATGCGTCTCTTTCTTGTCACATTTTCTTAGTTCGTCATTTGGGCGAAGGACTTCCTACAAAGACAAAAAGAGGCATCAAAGTTTTCTATCCTCTTTCGATGCTCAAAATCAGTGATAGGAAAGCTAACATCTGTGTATTCTTCTAGTGTCTGGGATAACTTTTACAATGCGTGAACGTGGAAACTCCATATACCTTTCGTGATAACCGGGGACATCCTCCTCCATGCCTACCTACCACAGTAGGCATGGGAGTGGTGTGCCTTGTTGAAGAATGATGTCGGATGCTCGACAGGGGCTATGGTCTCTGGTACAAAAGGATGACTCCCTATAGAGATGTGGTTTATGATAAGAAGAATTATATCTTCTATTCGTTACGGTGGATCGTCTTTGCTTCCGAGAATTGATATGGTATATGCCCCTTATCAATTGAGTTGGAGAATCTTGTGTGAGAAAGTCTCATGGAAAAGAAAAATAAAATTTCTTTTTTACTTGTTGGTTAAAGATTTTGACTTTCGACATGGAAATGGTTTTGCTTTCTATTAACATCCTGAATGAAGCATCTACTCGCTACTGCTTATTTTTTGTACTCTCCATACTCCGTTGATAGTGATATCAAGTATGTAGAGAATGCCATATACCAATGAATGCATATTTGATGCTGTATTTGTTTTATTTGATGACTTTAGGATATCATGTGGATCAGTGAAATCATCTTGACAAGTTGAATGCTAATAGTAGTGCAATCTGATTTACCAAGCTTGCATTTGAACATCAACGGCTGGAAGGATGTAGATATGCTTATGCAATGTATCAGAATGACACCAGTAACTCATCACTCCAATTTCCAGCAAAGTAACGGAATGATCATGAATGTCATCCAAAACAAAATTCTGGAAAAGATATATATGCTCAAGATCACCAAAAGAGATGTAAATTGATGAGCTGTTCTTCATGCTTTATTTCTTTCTCTCTTTCTTTTCATTTGGTATGCAATGATTGCAAATGCTGGAACCAAACAATTACCATGTGGTAACAAATATATTTCCTTGTTAGATTGCAGAATTCATGGTGCCAAGTGCATACATACCAGAGCTCTCGATCACGTTGCAGTGGAGAAAGTCAAGAAACCTAGGAGAAATCGAACTGGTCTTCATTATAGTGCCAAAGTTACATGGTATGATCTAAAAAGAGTTCTTTTAGTTATTGACTCCACAGTTTGTTTCCACACAACACACATAAAACTAGATGATGTTGTGTTCTATATCTGTAGTATCTGATTCATATGAGAGCAGAGCTCAGTATTCAGACCCAAAGAGCACCTGCCTCATGAAGAAGTGGCACCAATTCACCACCAAGGTGCAGTGACATGATCCTATCTGTAGATCCAACCAGCTTGCCTCCGATGAATACAAGTGGCACCAGAGGATTACGCCTCACAAGCACGGCAAGCGCCGTCTCCATCTCTCTTCCCCTTGGTTCCTCGTCGAGTTCATGTACTGCAGCATTGACACCGAGGTCATGGAGGAGGCTCTTCACAGTATGGCACATGCAGCATGAGCTGCTGCTGAAGACTACCACCGCTCGTTGGGACACCAACTTCTTCACCTTGTCCATTCTATTGTAGCAAAATGGATGGAGAACATAGTCTGCCGAAGAGCCAAACCGAACGCTGAATGGTTTGTGTTGGAGTTCAGTACTCCTGTGTGACCTGCTTATATAGAGATGGAAAGCTCAATGTTTGCGTGCCCACAGCATCATTGTCTTCTATCATTTCATTGACGCTGACTTCACTGTGCATTTTTGGAAGATTTGTATTCTTTTGAAACCACAAAAGTTATTTGTAAGGTTGATCTGAGTCCACAATTGGTCGTGTAGGATCAGTGATGACTTGAGCCATGCCATGTTGATTTCCGAGGTCTCAGAACAGTGGTAGATGGAATCCTTGGTTCTAGTTGACGATGCACATCTTAACAGCAACTCTTCAGGTCAAACTTCATTACACTGGAGAAGAACATTATCCATTTGGTGGTCCATGAAAAAGATGAACAATGCCACAAGCGGATGAAAGAAACAGGCAGTACGGTGCTGCCTCGGGACACAAGGAATCATGTACATTTCGGTGGAGGCATCATCATCATCTATATGAATGGAGAGTTTGATTCCAGTGGCTGGTGGGTACCGGAGAACCATGAGTTTCACCGCTGGCAACTTGTAAGGCCATGTTCCACATTGCCTCTGGTCCTTAGGCTGTTACTGCACTTGCACCACCTCATCAGCGATGGTATCTGTGATGCTGCGACTTGACCATGCATTCATCTTCTTAATCTGATGGTTCCGAGCTATCAGTAAAATCATGTTCCAGTGAGACAGAAGACAAGGAGATACGGCTGCCTTGCCTTCATTGTTCCAAGCTAAGCGGAGATTATTCTTACTTCAGACATGAGATCTGCCTCATGTCTGCTAAGAACCTTGACATGCTCATTCACTTGGATGATAGTATCCATTTTATGATATTCCGAGTTCATTTCAGAAGGTCTTTCTTCCTGATACAATGTTGCTAGGTGAAGCTGATGGGTTAACCTTTGAGTATTGGAGGAGACAAAGGTGGCTCTTAGAAGGGAATCCACTTCCACATGGTATGTTTTGAATCCTTTTCCTTTATAGTTTCTGAAGGTATCTTTATGCAACATGGCCAATACTATGCTCTAATTAGGATAAGATTACGGACTGTTGTATCATGGATAAATCTAGAATGCACTGTCTTTATAGTTTCTGAAGGTATCTTTATGCAACATGGTCAATACTAGGCTCTGATTAGGAAGAAGATACTCTCAAATCTCTTTGAAGAATTGGGGATATGGTTGTCATGGAATGCCAAATCAACACCATGAACCAATCGATGTCGACTGATTTAGACAAGGTGCTTCCTTGATTTCATAGCCTAATCCATCTCAAGTTGATTCACTGCATAAATTCATCTGTTAACTCTTGCTCTGTTCATTCAAAACTGTATACATCAGTTACTTATTTGTTTATACTTGTGATGATCAGAACACTGTTGGCATGACTAAGACTCCACTAAATATATTGATAGCTGGTGATCAAAAAGCCAAAGACATGCAACCGCCTGCAGAATCCTTAGAGAAACCTAGCTAGGAACATTAAGAATGCCAGAGAAAACATCAAGATCATTCTAGGTATGTCCGTCGATGCATATGCCTATCACTCCGAGCTGTATGACATCACTGTTAGCCACAAGCATGTATCCGTGCAACACCACCACATGTCCAGAACACTCAATTGGCAAGAAACATCATGCATATATTCTGAGAAGATCTAGGGTTACTGTTTGGCATTCTAAATCCTTGCTGACTGATCTCGACCTTATCGCGAATTAGGATAAAGAAAGCTTCGTCATCGGCGGATTGAGATAGGTCACCTCCTAATATTCGAGCATCAGAAGCTCAAAGTTTCATCTTCAATGGAGATAGATGGCTACATTTATCCAACTTTGTTCCGAGGAGAAGTGACCTGCAACAGACTATGCAGTAAACCAGGGTTACGTCCAAACTAATGGTCAGAGGACACTTGAGCAATGTGTTTCACCAAAATTTCCCAGCCAAAGGATTCCGCATTTAGAGTCCTTCGGCTCAATAACAGTACCACCCAGGCTCACTTTTAGCCCTATAAAAACATCACGCTTCTGGAGCTTTAACCACCAAGTCCTGAGTTCTTAAAGCGTATCTACCCCATTGCCTCTCCTCGCTCTTCAAACCTGTCTGAATTCCGCCCAATCTTCAGCCACAATTTGGATCAGCCCACAAGAATCTGAGCTCCCACATTCCATTTGATCCGAGCTTGTGTCAGGATGGACAGGGTGATGAAGTTGGCCTCGCAGAAGGCAGTGGTAATCTTCAGCTTGAGCTCATGCTGCATGTGCCACACCATCAAGAGGCTCTTCTGCGAGCTGGGAGTCAATCCTGCTGTTTATGAGCTTGACGAAGACCCCAGAGGGAGAGAGATGGAGAAGGCACTGGTCAAGCTGCTCGGCCGCAACCCCTCGGTGCCAGTCGTGTTCATCGGAGGAAAGCTCGTTGGATCCACCGATAGGATCATGGCCCTTCATCTTGGTGGCAAGCTGACTCCATTGCTTCGGGAGGCTGGTGCTCTATGGCTTTGATCTCACTATCAGATTAATCTCTCCTTCACAACAAGAAGTGAACTCAGGATGAGTTTGGCTTTGCTTTTTGTAGCTTGTACTGAAGACCATGCCATGCAAATAAGGTGTACAGCTTCTGCTGCTTCTTGATGAACTGAATCTAACAGATATGTTGTCACTGCTAGAATTCATGGATGAGATAAGCAGAAGTAAAATCTCCCAGTTAATCTTACAAAATTCCTGAAATATAATCCGAGTTACTGATTCCTAAGAGTTGCATGAATCATTTTGGCACGGACTTGTTGCCTTCTCTGAAACCCAAATGGCACTACTGCCTATAGCTTGTGGCTGTGCCTACTGGTGGCACTCGGAAAAGAAGGGAATGGCTATCGAATTCCGTCGCAGCCACATCCGAGTGGAAGAAAAGCTACAAGTTCATCCACGACAAGGAGCCTTATCGATTCCCCTTCCGTCGGCTTCATCATCATAAGCCCAAACAAAGCTCCTCGTGATGATCTTCTCCTGCAAAGTTAACCCACGATATGACATCGCATTTCCAAATCGGTTTGCGATGAATCGTAACATGAGCATGAAACCACTTCCATCAAACGCCTTGGTGACAACGTCGATTGGTACATGAGAAGCCATATGCTTGACCTGAGAGTTCCGTCGACCGTTTTGCTTAAGATTGGTATGTGAATCAAGAAGATGACAAGATGATGTCTGTGGATTATGCCGATGGTTGGGAGGGGTGGCCGAGAGGGGGCCGGGCGGCGGCGGAGAAAGGTGGGATTTTTAACCTGGAGAGGAGAGGGAGGACGTCAGGTGGACGCGGCGGCGGAGAGGAGGTGGTGAGGTGTGAAGTCTGATGTTTTGCGGTGAGTTTACCACCTGCAACACGGAGGATAAACTGCCTCCGAAAATACTAAATCTCTGGGAAATCGGTCTACGGTTTCGCACTTATTCTCGTCCGCGGTGACCAGACTCCGACAGAGAATAAGTCAGGTAAGCCTACCTCTACTCGTTTGCTGGTGATACGATGCCCTAAAATAATCAAAACGGCCAAAAATCAACAAACTTGCCCTCACTCGCGGTGACCAGACTCACGGATGAGCGCGGTACCCCCAGTAAACTTACCGTCAGCTATTTGGTGCATGAAATGCCTCCGAAAAATTTAAACCGTCCTAAAATCATCCCATTGTCGTCGTCCTACCGATGACTACGGTGACCAGACTCACTGAAGGGCTATAGAGATGCACGCACCTTCGCGTAAGCTTACCTGAATCGGTTCACTGCATCACAGAGCGAGCATGGTTTTAAAATCATCGAAATGTCGTGGCCGTACTGTTTGTTACAGGCGGTGACCAGACTCGAGGGCGAGCGCGATACATAAACTTCCGAGTAAGCTTACCTGCGTCCGTTCGGTGCATAAAAGACCTTAAAAAAATTCAAATCGTCCTAAAATCATCCGACAACGATGGTCTTACTATTACCCAGAGGTGACCAGACTCCGAAAGGTGTGTTGGTGGAGTTGGATGCATTATTCTGCATACCAACATCTATCACATCGTAAGCTGTTGCAGCACGTGAATGAATCAAAGCCTTGTGAAACGGATTAATTTAACTTAAAGCTAAATTTTCAACTAAATAGAAATAATAAATTTATTTAACTTAAAAGTAACTAAAAAAATAAATATAAACTTTCGACTTAAATAAGAATAACAAATAAACATAAATGGCATCAGAGGACTCTTTTTGTCCTCTCTTCCTATCACGAAGGCTGAAGCTGAAGCTACAATTTCACCTCTTCATACCAAACAACAGAGTTTCTTTAAGTTCCTAACTTCATCAGCATCTGACAATGCTCGATCAGTACAAGAAATGAAATCGGCAACATAAGTGTGACAGCCACTCGGAGAGTAATCACAATGGCTCTTGCTACCATGCAGGCTTTCCATTACCAACACAAAACCAGAGAGAAGGTTTGAAAACCCTACAACTTGCTTACTGATGAAAGTCCATAGGAGAAAACTCAAAAATGATCATACAAAATTTAAAGACATGATCTCATTATAGACGATACACATTGCCTTTTCCTTTGATTACCGTTTACAAGCTCAATGGACATTTAAATTTACAAACATAGAAGAAGTTCGTGTTGGCCTAATGCCGAAAGACTATAATTGTATTTGACAGGTAAAAAGTGAAAGAACTGAACACATTGCAAGATTTCACAGGCCTCCTAGGATATGCTTGATTCAAGGGAAAAAAAAAAAAAAAAAAAACCAATCCCTTGCAAGCATCATAGAAAAGGAAGATTTTCTGGTAGATCCTTTAGGAAAATTCCTCTTTCATTTCTCCGTGAGAATGTGCCGTGACCTAATTCAATGAGATAGATCTCTGATATGATGCAACCACTTCATTTCAATAGCCTTGCTACAACTAGCAGTTTTCCAAGGGGTGAGCTACACCCGAGAGGTGTAGAAATGCATAAACCCCAACCTAAGGAAATCCAAAACTTTGGATCATATCTGAATCTTACCAAATTCAGAATCAATCTTTGACATTGTTTCCTTTTTCGTCAATAGATTTCTGATTTTGTTCAGGTTTCACTCACTGGTGGAGCTGAACAAACTGGTACAACAGATCTCACATTAACAGGTGGAGCTACAAAGCTTGTTGAGGAGACCAGAGTGTCTGGATTCACTGCCCCAGCCCTGGCTGAGCATACAGGGATAGTGGTTCTAATCGTCACTGGAGCAGCCGGTGATGGAACTTGACGTCTAAATGCTTCATCTCTAAGACCGGACGGATGCAGTAAAGCTGAAGATATATGTCTCATTGAAGCTGATACAGCAAAAGGCCTAAATTTCCTATCCAAACTGGAAGAGTTTGGAGATCCATGGGAAAATTGTGTAGGACTTGAATCGGAATTCAGGTCGTATAAAAGAGAGTGGTTTGGAGGTGAAGGCCCAGGCCATACAGATGCCCGAGGCATCCATCCGTATGATTTTCCTTGGCTTCTTTCAGCTGTTTTTCTTTCCTGCATCTTTGTACGACCTGCTGGATCCTGAACCATCGTTGGGCATGAAGCAGAGGCAACTGACTTGAAACCATGGCAACTACTGTTTGCTTCTTCCTCAAGGTGTGCTTCAGCACCACCAAGTGAACATTCCTTTTCTTGATCTTCATGTGACTTCTGAACAGTAGATGCATCACCGATATTGTCCGACCGGAGCGAGGAACCTGAAACATCCAATGCAGAGTATGCTTCTGCACTTGATGGAAGTATTAGCCATTCCTTCCCCACTCTTTGGTTCTGCTCCCCATGTATCTGTTGTATTGTGAACTGGGACCAACTTCCGGATGCAACAGAGACAGGGTGATCAGAGAAGCACACTAGCAAGGAAGGAGAAGATCCTGTTGAACAACGTAAAGAACTAACTGGGTCTTGCTCAACTGATGGGGTGTGTAGCACTTGACTTGGGTAGAAATAATGCAGAATTGGGAAAGATCTATGATCCCTGGCATGTGGAGTTAGTGAAAAGTGAGACTGCTGTGGAGATGCATGCACTTGATGCCACATTTGGTAAAATTCTGATTCGGATGACAAATCAGGGTACACCAAATTCTGGAAAGGGATGGGGCAGAAACACACATTAGATGTTGGATGCATGCTTTTCTGAGGAGGTGATCTTTGCTGGCCTCGCCGTCGGCCGTTTTGAGAAGATGACCAATTTTCTTCTGATCGCTGCAATTTTGCAAGGGCATGAGCCAAAATGACGGGTTCCTGTTCTTCATTCTTTTCACTTTCCGACAGCGAAGGTGCAGATGGAGAAGAAGAGGAGCCCAGACGTGGTGCTGCATTGGCACCGTCAACCAGGTAACTTTTAACTGGCCAAAGGATGATAAATAGCTAATGAAGAAGACAGTAATTTCTCGACTAGAATAATCCATTAAGTCAAAAGTATAATTCATATAATTGCATTAAAGAGATAGGTCCCAGATATCCAACCATGGTGGGTGAAGTTCTTACAAGCAAATTGACATGATTGTTCCTAATCATGAATTTGCAAAATTCTAGTCATGGTCGATATGAATTATAAAAATTGGATTCTTTTTGAAAAAAATATGCCAATCGTCGTCCTACTCATGAGTAACATTAAGAGAATAGGAGTAATAACATATAAGCATTCTACAGTGGACGAAATATACAGTAGAAAGAGATTCAGAGAAGTCCCATGAACAGTAAAAGAGACAAAGAACCATAAAATTTATGGCTAAGGGTTCTGTTGTTTCAGCAGCAGAGGATCCTTATTTTTTGGAAGTATATCAGGTGCAACTCACATGATAATGCAACAAGAAAAAAGTAGATCAAGGAAGCAATGTCAACAACAAAAGATTTGCATACGATGGTATTTTCTTGCAGACAATACATGATTCTCTTAATCCCGAAAGGGGCTATTACATCTTTCAAGTGTTTACTAAATGAAACATCTCGATAATATGTTACTCTTCAATGTAAGTTCATCGCTTTGCTATACAACAAAAACATTGAGTTAGTCATCCTGTGGAGTGGTATGGTAATCTAACAAGTTCCGAAAAATAGTTCAGAACCCAAGAACAGGTGGATACTAATGTACAAAAGTAAAACCAAGTGATGGTTAATAACAACATATTTGCAATGATCTCCAGTGAATAGGCAGCTATCTAATTGGTTCATGAAGGGCTTATCTATTATTTAACTGGTTCACAGAACTTCCATTTTATGCACTTTTCTATATGAAATGTGAGTCACAGCCTTATACTTTTTTTAATTTAGAGTTAGACTAAACTAGTAAATCTTTCTTTTTTTTTATGTCGCCCTACTTTTGATAAACAAGATATATCAAGAAAGACAACATCTTGCAAAAGAATATTGCAAGTATCCGAAGTTTCCATCACTGACACGGACGACATGAGAATGCAGTGGTTTTGAATCTTTAGACATGGTCAAATATCAACAAACTATGATGTTTTCTGGTCTCAAATTATTTTCGTTTGGAACTCTTACCCGAGAATGTTCTCCATATATGTCTCACGCTTAGAGGTCAGGGGAAAAATGTTTACTCACAGTGCTTCAGTGCAGACCAGGCAGCCATAGCAGCATTTTTTTGAGCCTGCTTCTTGGTCTTGGCAGGATCTCCCGTGAAGCTCATTCCTGCAAGCTCAACTGTGCATGTAAAAATAGGTGTATGACCTGGTCCAGATCGAACAGTTGTATATACAGGCAACTTCAACCCAGCTCTGTGAGCTGTTTCTTGGAGTAAGTTCTTGTAAATTCCAGTCTCATCCTGCCGATTAAAAGAAATATATAGCATATAAAACTTGAAAATTATGGTGTAATGTAAATCTTTGGAAATGTGCTTCAGTCCATGAATGTGAAAGACATATGAACATGCAAAATCCAATCAAACTGATTGCATCGCATGCATACCAGAACTTTTGCAGCAAGTGACCTCGAAGGCCCTCTCTTTGAGAGGGTGTTTAAAGCAACCTCAGCCGCAGAATGCTCTGCCTGTCTGAGTGTGGAACAGAACGTTGGGCTTTCGAAAGCTTCCCCATTGAAATTTACAGTTGCTTTGAATCGCGGGGCATGGTCCGGCCCCTCCCGTATACTTGCATAGGAAGGCAAGTTAAAGCAGCTTCTTTGGGCAAGTTCTTGCAGCTGGTTCTTGTACATGACTGTGACCAAAAGCACCCATAAGCTACCAAACTATGCTAAGAGTTGGGACATTCTAATCCCACACTTGGTCAGTATCAGAAATCAACCTTCCGTTCAGGTAATCTCAAGGAACCGACAGTTCAGATAAGCATACAAACAAAAAGATTTCGAGGGGCACAGAGAACCCCAAAAGATCAGATTCTGAGGGGCGCGCATCAACCATATTACCCCCGAAGAGCCCGACCGCACACCAATCCTCGCTAGAACCCTAAAATGCGTATAAGATTAGAAACAAAAAGAAGCGCCTTTGCGTAATTCAAAGATCGGACGCGACAGCAACGAAACCAATTGAACCCCGACAACAGATCAGAACCACGGAACCCAATCCGGCGCAGACAAGAAAGAGGAAACGATTATCACCTCAGCTCGACGAATCCGACGGACTTGGTACTGAGATCCACAAGCGGATCGCCACCGAGGGTAAGAGATCAAGAACGAGGAAGGGAAGAGGGAAAGGGTGTTTCCCCCTCTTGTTTCTTTGTGTTTGTCCGTGTGATGGATCTAATTGCTTTTGCTTTCTTGTTTTTGTTTTCCTTTTGGTTGCCACTAGTTGCTCACTCTACGGCATTAATCGACGAGATTGTGACCAAATGTGTTGCTTCCCGCGCTAATCTCGTGTGTTTTTCGTTGCCATTAGTTGCTAACAGTAGCATTAACTATGATGATGACAACAAAGTGAGACTTTAATTGCTTGCAGCCTTGCACAACATCCTTGTCGTTGCCATCTGTTGCTAACGACGACGGCATTAACCGTGGTGATGAGGACGGCAGCTTCCGGTTCTAACGTCTTTGCTGTCATCACTTGCTAACTACAGCATTAATCACGGCGGTGATGCGGAAAGGTTTAATTGCTAGTGTGCAAGCATTTGCTGCCATTAATTGCTAACTACAGCATGTTTGTTTACTGATACACTGACGACGTTTCTTTCTAACACGAATAATTAAGACTGCAATGTACGACACCGTCGATTGATTCTCTTGCAGCATCAATGTAAGACGCGAATCATTATAATTTGTTTCCTGAGACAGCATCAATGTAAGACACCGATGTTTCCGAACACAAAGCAAGCCGAGCAAGTACACGGAACGCCATGTCCTGCATGGACGGTCATGTGTTACCGTCAGCGACAACGACGATAGAGAGAGTAGGACGAGAGCACGACGAGCGAGACGAGGAGGATGGAGGCCACAAGAGAGACGGCCGCCGAGCTCCCGACGTGCCGGCAGAACTTGTCGTAGACGTTGCAGACCTTGTTCCAGTTCACATGAGAGTTCCCCTTCAGGCCGAGGTAGGCGACCGAGCCTGCGGTGCCGGCGGCTGAAGCCATCACTCCGGCCATCACCTGCAAACCAGAAGCCAATGATTACCTGTTACATCACCGTTATCAGCTTTCGATTGAATGCAGGTACTAAAACAACATTCACCGCGTCGGAGAGAACGAGATGGAACAACATCCTCGGCGATGAAGAAGGGCTTGAGATGGCAGCGAAGGAAGCCACCATGGTGATGATGCTGTAGAAACAAGTGACTGAAAGCGCAACCAAGAGATATCTGCACGTAGCCAAACAAAGCAGACATAATATAAAGTTTATGCAGTGACTTCCGATCTAATGAAGCTGAAAAGTTTATGCAGCCCAAGAAGCCTGAGAATCGCACTAAACCCCGTGTCAGAAAACCCACGTCCGGTATAGCCAGAGTTGCACCGGGGCACAGCAGACTTACATGAACGCCGGAGAGTGTTGAAACTTGGCATCACGAGAGATGAAGGCAGGGAACGGCGGGGGCAGAGAGGTCGGAATGCTCTCGGTCTGCTTGCTGGTGACCAACACCACCAGCGCCGACACGGCAGATGCAAGCAGGAGCAGCCGCAGACCGAAATCGACGCCAAACAGATTGGGCGGCGGCACGGCGTAGCCGGACTCCGGCGTGTCCTTGCTGGTGGATGTCATCTCTGTCGATGCTCTCACGATGGAGTTGGCTCAAAGCCCTACCATATAATTGTGCACCGTTGGGTTGGATGGTTCTCCGTAGTATAAATAAGCACGAGAAATGGACATCATGAGGTGGGAAATGTTGCAGGTCGTTCATGGTATGAACAGAAGATTATTGTGGGTATACACAACTTAATGATTCGGGTTCGTGTGGCAACTTAATGTAGCCTCTGCAACAACATGTTCCCTGACTGCATGTGCCTCGGCACTATAAAATTGTAATCTTTTAACAGGTTCTTCTCGCGTTTCTTAATGAAGTCTGATAGTTTTGGCGGGTGTGCCTGGAGAATTGTGTCGGATTGATGATCCTATTAGTGAAGGAAGACATGCTTGCGTTGTAATTATAAGAATCTTGATCTGCATGCTTTGCACATGGAGATGATAGGAAATTATGATTGAGATTTTTCTGGTGCAATCTTAGCTGGACTTAATCACCCAAACAAGCTGTCAGAATCGACATGATCTCTTGCAAACCAAGTCAGAGAGTTGACATTAGATGACAGGGTTTCATGAATGAATCTGTATCAGCTAAACAGCAATATACGGCAGCTGGAGATTCTGAGTCGACGTGTTTTCGAACACCGAGAGGAAGACAGCTATGAGATAACTTCATTGACCAGTGACGATCGTATCCTTGTGCGGCATTAAAGTCGGGCGGATGGGCACCAACGGTCTTATCCACCGGAGTAAAAGCCAAGTAAGGTTTGGAAGATTGCAGAAAGAAAGGGCGTGACCATTCAAGTCTTCTTGATCTCTTGTAGAAGAAGGCAAAAGGAAACAAGATAGAGCCGAGAAGAAGCAGGGCACAGTCCACTTTCTCATTGTGCGTCTCCGATCATTGATGCGGTCTCCAAAATGGTAGCAGATTCTGCGAATACTTGGTGGTTCTTGAGATTGTTGGTTCTGCTTGATCCTAAGGAAGTGAAAAGAGGTATACTATGAATGATGATGCTGATGATGATGAGTATCTTCTTCTGGGAGGAAGATGAGAATTGTATAAACATTCCCAACAAAATCATAGAATTTTACCTGCTTAATGAAGAATTAAGTATGCTATGCTTCTTCTTGAGCTTTACATATAATTAACTTCGTGAGATACAGTTCAAGCTGATGAGCCATTGGCGAAGCCTATGAAATCTCTCATCTCTCTCTCTCTCTCTAATTAGCAGGAGACATAATAAGCAAACATAATTTCTCTGCAAATGTGAGGATTACGTGAAGATAAAGCATGGATAATTTTGTAAGGTTGAATGGGTTCACTCTGTCTCTTATACCATATCAAATGACATCTCTGTAGAGATCACTCTGTTGGCTCTTGACTTTTATTTTTGTTGCATAAAAAACTTGGGACTTTATTTATTGTCTGAAAGATTGATTTGGAGGATGAAAGGTGTACAATTGTATGAGATCACTCTACTCTGTTTCTTATACCATATCAAATGGCATCTCTGTAGATATCACAATGTTTGGCTCTTGACTTTTCTTTTCGTTGCATAAAAAAAAAACTCGATTTTGTTTATTGTCTGATGAAAGATTGATTTGAAGGATGAAAGGTGCCAAATTGTCTGAGGTCACTCTACTCAGTTGAACGGGTTCACCCTATCTCTTGTACCATATCAAATGGCATCTCTGTCGAGATCACTATGTTGGCTCTTGATTTTTCTTTTTGTTACATAAAAAAAATTAATTTTGTTTATTGTCTGAAAGATTGATTCGGAAGATGAAAATTATATGATGCAAGCCAAAACGTTTCTTTCAAATCGGAGACTTCTAACTTATGGACAGTGGTGGTTGTTTGCTCTGTCTTTCGGCTCAGGACACAGTTTGATTTAGATCTTCTAGTAATTCATTCAGGTCTGATATCTAAATGATCCAAGTTGGAGGTGTTCATTTATGGGTTGGCAATATACGATCGGCATGCAAATGACAAAAGATGATTCTGGTTTGCTATATATGTTCTTGAAAATGGCATCTTTCTCATTCTCCTCCTCTGTAACAAAGTTTTCCTGCTCTATGACGGCTCATAGTACGTACCTTATTTAAAAACCTGGAAGTAATACAGTAAGATCCCATCTATATGCCTATCCATTGCTAGCATTAGAATATTGCGGTTTAATGGATCAAACACTTGTAAGTGGTGAAGAATAGACATGAAAAGCATTTCATCACCAAACCTTCTTTGGACGAAACTTGGTTTCATAGTCAAAAAGACTCTTAGTTTCCACTCCCCTTCCTTCCTCCTACCCCGCTGGTTTGGTTGACACGCAACTTTCAGAAAGTCCAATGGCAATCGCGGCTGTTACACGGCTTTGACTTCGTATATCCGCGATAAGAAACTCGTCTGGAGCTCTAGTTGACTTTGAACGCCTCAATATGCAGTCTACGATGACTCCATTCACATCCATCGTGCAACAAGCTCTGTCAGGGCACAATGTAAATCTAAGACTTTACTCGGCAATGCGCTGGATATTGATGGGTACCTTCACCCAATTTATCAACTGGACAAGACTCTGTCTCTGTCTCTGTCTCTCTCTCTCTCTCTCTCTCTCTCTCTACGCACACATATATATATATTCACACACACACACACTGTTATCCCACAAATCATTCACTCTGCATTCCCCTCAAAATGGAGTCTCAATTTAGGACTGGGTTTGATGTGAGCCAAGGGGCTGGCGGTCGGGCATCCAAATTCGGGGACGTGGTTGCTCCGCCGAGCTCAACGCTGCTTCCCGGCATCATCCTCCGCATCGTCGCCATCGTTCTGACCTTCATTTCGGCGGTCGTGATGGGCGCCGCTCGACAAACCACCACGGTCACCGGCATCGACGCTGAAACCGCCTTGCTGACGAGCATCACCGTCACCGTGAAGTCCACCTACTCCGCCGCCTACGTGTAAGAAGTCCTTCCCCATGCACGTTCACCACGACACAGCTTTCGCTTGGTTCTCATCATCTCTTCATCACAACACAGGTACTTTGTGGTGGCCAACGTGCTCGTCTTCTTCTACTCGGTCGTGTCCCTTGTACTATCCATGGTGAACAAAGCTCGACTGACTTCCATGTCGCTACCCTTCTCGATCGCCGACCTGCTCATGGTGGTTCTCCTCTTCTCCAGCAATGGTGCAGCGGCGGCCATCAGTGTTGTGGCGGAGAAGGGGCAGCAGAACCTGGCCGGCTGGGACAAGATCTGTAACCTCGTCGGCGGCTTGTGCGCCCGCGTCAACGCCGCCATTGTCCTCTCCATCCTCGCATCGGTGGCTTATGTGATACTAGTCGTGTTTGGCATGGCCAACCTTCGTCGATCTCAGTAAACATCCTTATGGATTGAAGTATCCTGTGGACTTGCAGTGATTCTGTTTCTGCTTCATCCTGTTCTAAGATTAGCGAGTGATGTAGTTTGTGTTTCAGGTTTGTCCATTCTAATGGATCACTGTGAAAGGATTTGATAGACTTATTTGAATGAACTTGATTGTTGCAAAGCATGTCGGCAAGAAATAATTCGAATTCTCTTGAGCTTCACATAGAAGTCTTTCCATACTTGAGGATTTTTATCATCATCCAAGTAATTCGAAAAATATAACTCTAAAAATGCTTGCTAATCCTAACATAATATTCATTTTTTATCTTAAAATCAATTACATCCTTTTTTTTAAACCAACTGAATGTATATAAATAAGTAATAAATAATATATATATATATAATATTATTTTTAAGACAATTTTTCCAATATTTTAGAAGAGTTACTTATTGATTTTAGCGTCAACGAGTGAATTCTCATCATGGCCGTCTATTACAAGTGTACTCACTCGTATGTACGGTGATCTGATTGATCGGTTTAAAAAGACAGAACGTGCTTGTCCACCGTCAGATTTAGATGGTTACCGAATTCAAAGCAAAGCGCCATGATCCAACGGTGCCGAGGGACTCGACCTCGCTCAAACGGCCTTTCATGGGTGGTTTCAGCATATCAAAAATTGCAAAAAGGTCCCCTTATAAAATAAAATTTTACATTAGCATTATTTAAAGCACAGTATCCTTCGATTTAATTTCAGGATATATAGTGTTAAAAGTGCTTTGCTACTGATATTAAAAAAATTAATTTCTTATTTCTTGCGATGATTAAAGGGATTATTGGTCAACATTTTGGATATGTTATCATGTAATTTCCTGCTTTAAAGGGATTATTATGTAGATAAAACTTTTTCCTTAATCTACCCAGTTTCGTCCGCCTCGCGCACCCATCCGTCTGATAATTCGAGCTATAACCACAGACTGATGCCTGGGTCCACCGGGGTAAACAAAGGTTTTGCTGCGAAAACGCACGTCACTTTCGTTTCTTTTTTATCTTTTAACATTTACCCCCCCCGAATCATTAGTTAATTTACCAAAAGCCTTTCACCTTCTCCATGTCAAATTAGAGAAAGCATTTTCTGTTCTCCTTCGGTTCCCGCTGTGTTTGTTGTCCGTTCCCTTCTGTCCCCTCACTGATCGTTGGTTGCAATTTTAGGGTTCCGGCAGCGATGCATCCACCTCGTGCAGAACCTCCACCATCGAGCCTCATCGGAGCACCCTTTCTTACCGTTTAGGGTCTTTGAGTCCTCGGCCGAGTACGTTTACCCTTCGGCCGTATGGCGTCTCAGGGTAAATCATGTACTCCCTTGCTTGGCTTGAGATTTCGAACGTACTGGTAGGAACTTAGGGTTTTGATTTCCTCTTTCAAACCCCTCGTATGGACTGTAATCACGGTGCTTCTCCAGGGGTTTTGTATCTGCGTGTTGCTATCTCCTTGTTAGCATCTCGGTGAAGTTGAATCTTCTTTTGTCTTGGCCGGTTGATTTTTCTGCATAAAAGCTTCTTTCCTGCATGATTTTGTTTGGCGTGGAGCATTTGACTCTTCTTATTCCTAAGTTCTTATTCGTGCCAAAATGTTAGTGTCGCTAATATTTGTCTATTTATATTGCATGTCAAACGGTTGCAATAAATACACTTTTAAGAATGCTAAATTCATATATAAGATATGTATCACTGAGTCAAAATCTAAATAGTTAACGTCATTGACACAAACAACACAATCAAGGATATTAACGTCAGGTAATTATTAAAAAAAAACAATATAAACTATGACAGTGTTTGTTTAACAATTATTGATTATACAACAACTAGGTTTCCTGCATTATATCAATTACTACTTATGGAAATTTATTTGCTGATGGAAATTGTAGAAGATATTGGACTATCGATTATCATTTCTTGAATTTACTTTATGTTTCTGTTTACTGACACACTAAGGTCTGATGTAATTTGTTTTTGGTTCTCACTTTTGTGGATTCTGATTGAATCTTTGGTTTATTGTTGTGATCTTGTGGTTCTTGTTATAGTTGGATTCAGTGCTTTCAAAAGGCACTCGGGCGAGGCGAGGCGAGACCCGAGTGTCTCACAGTACCTCAGGGCGAGGCGTTTCAATGAAGCGCCGCTCGAGTGCTTGCTTAAGCCCAGGTGCTGTGCGCCTCGAGTGAGTGCCCGAGCCAAATTGGGCCAATTTCGAGCTTGGGGTCGATTGGACGAGTAAGTTGGTTCGATTGAACCAACTAATGTAATTACCCTAACACCCCCTTCTCGTGCCTGACCCAGCAAAAGATACCAAAAGCAAAAGCGAAACCTTACATCTGTCGCCCTTAGAGGCTTCGTCCACTGCCGCAGCTTTGCCCATCGTTGTCGATAACCTCGTTTATCGCCTTCATCTGCTTCGTCTATTGCCTTCGTACGCTCCATCCACCGCTGCAGCTCCTTTCGCCCCGTCTACTGTCATAAACAATCTCGTCTGTTGCCTTCGTCTACCATTACAACTTCATCTGTTCACTGTTGGTAGCTTCGTTCGCTACCCTCTCCTTCCCCCACCTTCCTCCATAGCTGTCGATTACTTGGCTTCTCAATCCACTCTTTCTCATTTCAATTAACTTGTTACACCATATTGAGGTGGTGGACTGTTACTCTGTTATGAGTTAAAACTGGTTAGCACATTATTAAAAACATTGTTTGGCGCCATATTGAAAACACCGTTAAGAGTTTAATGTAGTACTTTATATGATTCCAATATGATGTGTTATTTTTATTTTTTGATCATATTTATGAATCATAATGTATATTTTTTAAATTTTATCATTTGAGAGCACCTCGCTTAGCTTAGGCCAGGTGCCTAGCGCTTTTAAAAACACTGATTGGATTTATGCAAGAAAGTGAATAAAGTGGCAAAGTTGTACTTTGTTATTGAGAACGTGGAGATGGTTCTTTTTAAAATTGAATTGCTTTTTTGGCTATTCAATTATTAGTTATCTTTCTCAGTGTTCTGTATTGCCATGTATTACTTGCTCTTTAATTTTCTGAGTAATTTTCATCCCTAGGACAAAAAAAAAGAACTTGAAGTTCTAAATTATAGCATTTCAGCATTAATTTGGCTACATTGACCATATAGATTTCCTTTTTTCAGGAGAAATTGACTTTGTGAAACATTGTTTAAGCAGAATTGTGAAAGTGCGATCCTGATGCTAGGATATCCTAATTTTGCTTTGTTGCATAATGATTGTCTGGCCATTTTTGGATTTCTTGTACCTAGTTGGGATTGTTTGAGACTTAATAACTAAATTCAACTCTACTTGATACAAACCTAAATGGTCAGTTGGCAGGTAGAAGACAACACTTTACCGGTTGCCGTTTTAGTTCACACAGCTATAACTAATCCTCGTGGAATATTCTCTGGTCTTGAGAAGAGCCTGGATGGGAAACATCAAACTTTCATGTAGGAACTAATATATCTCACAAAGGCACAACCATTTGACAAGGAAATGGAACACAACTCGTGTATTTTGCTCTCTTATGTCATGAATGGGGAAGTAGGAACTAATATACCTTTCAAAAGCACAAATAAGTCGACAAGGCAATGGAACACAACCCAGAGGATTTATGCATTAACTTGTCTTGTGAACATGTTATTTATTAATTATATTATTTTAATGTCTATATTCTGTGTGTTGCCAAAAGGCACCCCAGGAAGACATCATATTACATGGCTGTCAAGCATGTTCATGGTGCTTGAGGAAGATGGGTGAGCATTGAGAGATCCTGTAGTGTACTACCCTTTATTGCATATCGTCCCTAGTTTGTGCAAATTATAAGTTTCCATGTCCCTCCCTTTTGATGGTTCCTTCTTCTTTCTTCTTTCTTCTTTCTCTCCCTTGCATCTTTTCCTTTTTCTTCTGTTTCTTTAAGGCAAACTGCAGGTAATAGTAGGCCATTTGGACTACTATATTCTCCAGTTTAAATATCATTTAGGAGACTGAATGACTTGATACAGATCTAGGTAAATATCATTTTCCATGGTCATTTAATTCGAGAATTGCAGGCCTAAGAAATAAAACTTGCAGTTAGATGCAGCTGAAACTAAAAGTTATTGTGCACTGGTTATTTTGAAGGCTAAGATCTTGTAACCTGTGCTTCAAATGTCAAACAAGTCAAGACCAACAACTGAGTGGCAGTTAATTCTGAACATGTAACATTGCATTGTATAACATTGTAAACTCATGTTGCTTTTCTGTATGATGTGTATCACTGGTAAATGGCACATGTTGGACCAGCTGAGTTTCCATTTTGTAGGTGATAACATGTTTTTAGGTACTCAATTTTCTTAATCATTTCCTGTTACTAATTTTATATGCATGATGGTCATGTTGATGATTGTATTACATTTTGATATTAGATGTAGTAATCAAAATCTAAGATTGTCTACCATTTCATATCCCCGCTTATACATGATAATTTTTGGGTTGTCATTGGCTAGTGAAGTGACATCATTAAGTGCTTTGATGGCTAATTTTGATCTAACAACAACAAGCTGCAATATCTTATGTAAACTCGTTTGATCTAGAGAAACATTACAATGACATCCATGCACAAAGGTGTTTGTGATTTCTAAAGGAGTCCCAACAGGGTTCCTTTGTGTATGGGGAAGCATCTTGACCAGTATAAACACCTATGTACAGTGGAGTTGTCTAGTGTTTATAGTAGTTTTAGGTGCATGAAGTACTTTGAAAACATATGACATATTATAAGTAGGAAAGAATTGAGAGGATACAGTGTTGCCTTTGCTTATTTATTTCAATCATGGATGTCATTCTAGTAATTTCTAATTTTGGAAGAATGTGAAATTTCATTATTATTAGTATATTCCTGTTATTTTCCTTTGTGCTCTTTTGGCAGGCTCTTGTATTTGATAGGATTTTATTGACCTTATCTTATTTATTTCAATCATGGTTGTCATTCTAGGAACTTCTGGATTTGAAAGAATTTCATACTTGCCTATCATCATATTCCTGCTAGCTTTACTTTGTGCTTTTTTGGCAGGCTCTTGTATTTAGTAGGATTCTAGTTTTGTTCTAATACATTTTATTACTGCATGCAGGTACTTCAAGTTTACTGTGTGGTGGATATCGTTGATGATGATCTATGATCCACAATTATCTAGAGAAGAAGCTGTTACTAAAGGCGGTCGAGATAAGATGTGCTTTTCTCTTTGCCATGCTTTATCTACAGAAGTGAGCATGAAGAGGGAGCACGATCCTTTTGGTTTATAGCACTTTTAAGTGTAGAAATTCAAGTACATTCTGCTAGACAAGTGCTTTCTTTCGTAGCTGTCACACTATGGACTGCAACAAGGAAGAGGCTTTCAGAGCCAGGGAAATTGCAGAGAGGAAGATGCAAAACAAAGATTTCAGTGGGGCACGAAAGATTGCTCAAAAGGCTCAACGCCTATTCCCTGTGCTTGAGAACATCTCTCAGATGTTAACTGTTTGTGAAGTTCATTGCTCTGCCAATGTCAAAGTTAATGGAGAAATGGATTGGTATGGAATTCTGCAAGTGGAGCCAACAGCAGATTATTCATCTGTCAGGAAACAGTACCGAAGGCTTGCACTTTTACTTCATCCTGATAAAAACCAGTTTGCAGGTGCTGAGCCTGCCTTTAAATTGATTGGAGAAGCACATATGACTTTGTCTGATCAAGAAAAACGACACCTTTATGACATCAAAAGGAATGCTACCTTCAAACCTGCCCTGTCCGGACAGTTGGCCCCACAGATGAGGAAGAGCTCTTATGCTGCTACAAGTGGTTTTAGCGCTGTGAACTTTAATGGTTTAAACCTACAACAGCAGCAACCATCATGTTTTGCTGCTGCCCAGACTTTCTGGACTATCTGCTCTGGTTGTAAAATTAGATACCAATACTATCAGAGCATATTGAACAAGTCCATCTGCTGTCAGAATTTTTTGAAACCTTTTGTTGCACATGATTTAAATGCAGAAGCTGTACCTTCTGAGGAAAACATAGGCCAATCATGGATCGATTCTGGAAACCCACAGCAGCAGATTCCAGTTGAGCAAACTAACAATGTCCACTGGCACAATCATCCTGAAAGTACCTCTTCTCATATGGGCCTTAAGGTAAGTTTAAGTGGAGGGTTAGAGATCAAAATTGAGCATGGAGGTGGTGGACCTGCAAATGTGGCAACAGATGTCAAGATGAATGATAAAGGTGGTGAAAGTAGTGAGGTTAAGTTTGGAAAAATGAACACCAAGGAAACAAATCATGGAAAGCAGGCTGCTAAGCCTTCAACTGCAAATTCTAGTCAGAAGAGGGCCAGAGTGGTGGCTGCCATGGATTCAGATGGCACCAGTGTTGAAGACATAGCTATTGAGGTTGATGGTCATCAAGCAAAGCATTTGTCTTCATTTTTTGCCCCAAGAAGGTCGGGCAGGCTCAAGAAAAATATTAACTATAACAAAGTCGGAAATGAAGATGATTTTAACTTTGTAAGTCCTCCACATTGTAAAATGTTGAGGGGTGACTTACTAGGTGGTGCTGATGGGCATGAAACTGAAATTTCTCATGCTAATGCTGATAGGGTTACTTCAGGAGTCGATGTTACTAATTTTGCTGATGACAATATGGAGAACAACCATAAAGAAGATGCCCGCTCTGAAGAGAAACAACCATGTGCAAGTAAAGGGGTTAAAATAGGAGACAGCAAACAAGACACAGTTATGAAGGAGAAGTCAGGGACCAGAACCGAATGGAATCTTAATTCTACCTCCAACACCTTACCTGAACATGGCAGAGTCACGTATCCTGATACAGAATTTTGGGACTTTGAAGAGCTTAGGCATGAAAATGCATTTGCAGTTGATCAGATATGGGCTGTTTATGATAATCTGGATGGGATGCCTCGATTCTATGCACGAATTCGTCATGTTTATGCTCCACATTTCAAGTTGCGGCTTGCTTGGCTTGAGCATAATCCCTTAAATGAAGTTGAGATGGCTTGGTCTGATGGGGATTTGCCAGTCGGTTGTGGGAATTATATACTTGGATCCTCACAGTTTACTGAAGACCGGTTGATGTTCTCACATGTTGTGTCTTCGGAAAAAGGGAAAAGAAGGAACTCATATACTATATATCCTAGAAAGGGTGAGGTTTGGGCTCTTTTCAAGGACTGGAAGATTGGGTGGAGCTTTGATGCTCAAAATAAGCTCTATGATTATGAAGTTGTAGAAGTCCTTTCAGATTTTGCAGCGGCAAGTGGAATTAGTGTGATTCCCTTAGTTAAGATAGAAGGATTTGTGAGCTTGTTTATGCGAGCAAAAGAGAAGCGTATGGCCCCATACGAGATACCACCCAGTGAAATTCTTAGATTTTCTCATAACATCCCTTCTTACAGGTTGACTGGGACAGAAAAAGAAAGTATTCCTCAAGGTTGTCTGGAACTTGATCCTGCATCTCTTCCTACCAACTTTTCAGAGTCATTTCCTTCTATTAGTTTCTGCAGCAATACAAGTAGAATTGGGAATTTGAATGAATTTAGTGGTTTGCGTTTTAGGCCCACAACCGACGAGGAGGAACCTGGACTTAGTATGGAGAACGACATAAGTCAGAGTTCGTCTCCTAATGGTGTGAAGTGTGTTGGTGATGCAAAACAATATCAAACAACTGAAATCCACCATTCAGACGCTTGGAGGAATGCCCAAAATGGTACAGACCAGTCTGAAACAGCGAATATTGTGGAAGACAACTTAGATGCCAGAGACATAAATAATAATGCTGCTGAAAATGAAAATTTGTCTTCAATGTCATCTTTAAGCCCCCTCACCTACGAATGTCCTGAGGCAGATTTTCACAACTTTGACCAACAGAAGTTGATTGGAAACATCCAACGAGGTCAGATTTGGGCAGTTTACAGTGACATAGATAAGTATCCCAAGTACTATGCACAGATAAAAAAGGTTGAGTTGGAAGAATATAGAGTGCATGTGGCATGGCTTGAGGCCTGCCCTGTGTTAGTGGAGCAGGTACGATGGATAGAAGAGGGCATGCCGATTGCATGTGGAACATTTAAAGTGGAACGACAGAGCATGATATTCGATAACGTTGATATATTTTCTCATCTTGTACAGGCTAAACCAGCTGGTAAAAGAAATCAATATGTTATTCTTCCTAGCTGTGGTGAGATTTGGGCGGTTTATAAGAATTGGAATGCTAATTGGAAGCATTCAGATTTGGAAAATTGTGAGTATGATGTGGTGGAGATTTGTGAATGTACTGATGCTGGCATGAAAGTTAGGCTTTTGATGAAGGTTAGTGGTTATAGATCTATTTTCAAACCTGAAATAGAAGGAAAAGCTGTGACCATGGAGATCCCTAATGATAAATATATTACATTTTCTCATAAGATACCTGCATTCCGACTAACAAATGAAATAGGAGGAAAACTGCAGGGCTACTGGGAACTGGACACTGCATCTGTACCCGAAATTTTACTGTTCTCAGACAATGAACGATGTCGGAAGTAGACATTATTCAGCAGCTTATGGGGAACTTTTGATTACATTGCAGAAGCCACAGTTGAATAGATTGTTTTTTTTTCTTTGTTCTTGCTGATACACAGACAGGTATATATATATATGTGGAAAGGCATGAGGGCCTCTTTTTGCTTGAGTTTATGCTCAAATTGCTCCATTGTGGATAACAGCTCAGTCACTTTTTTTTTTTTTTTTTCTGTAGCCTGCAGTTTTGCACAAGCGGCTGGCTGCATTGGAGGATGCAGATCACGATTTTTAAACACACTTTGCAGGTTGGAATATTTTTTTCTCTATTCTCCAGCATCATTGTTTTGTAGGTTAGTTTAGGTTTGCCTTTAGCTTTAAAGCAGCCATGGATAGATATTGTCTCAATACACTTAATATATGGAGTCGGAGATTTAGGCATTTGTCTCGATTCTGTTTGCTTCTTCCTCTTTTTAAGTGTCTTTGAAACCCTACCTCTTTAACAGTTCTACAGTGTCTATTGTTGTGCTCATTGTTGTATGGCTTTCGGAAATTCGTGGATGAACTGTCGTGTTGATGCCCTAACAAACAAGATTTAGTCTCACATTGAAAACAAGTTGATGAAGACTTGAATTTACTCGTTTGAATTTGATGGAATGCTTTTGTTTATTTGGTGTTTAAATATTTTAGATCAATAGGTTTAGCTCAATAACTTAAAATCAGGTATCTTATCAAATGAATTAGTTATTGGGTGAATTTCTAAAAAAAAAAGAAATTTTCATAGTGTTCTAACTTTTTAAAATTTTAATTTTTTTGCATTATCTCTTATCTTTATCGAACCCACTGTTTGCTCCACCAGACTCATCGTTGTCTTCGTTTTGCATCATTGCCTTGTAAGGATGATGATGGGATGGGCGTGGTGGCTATGCCTGGAGGCATGTAGGCAAGGACATGTGGATCGCACACCCTCGGAGGCAACTAAGGTTGGTATGGCTAATGTGCAAGTGTGACCAACACACACAACTAGCGACCGAATGTGTAAGAGTAATTGACGCACAAAGATGAGGGAGGCGACTAAGGTTGGTGTAGCCAAGGCTAGTGTCAACCAATGCGTGGAGACGATCAACGTATGAAAGCGACACTAAGTGTGGTCAACATATATATGAAAGCAACAAAGACACAAGTGATCAAGAATAAAATTATCATTTATGAAAAACAAATTATATAATTTTTTTAAAATATTAAAACACTACAAAAGTTTCTTAAAACCAAGGACTTATTTTGAAAATTCACAGTTAGTTATTTTATTAAATCAAATCATTTAAATAATAATACATAATTATCTCATCAAAACAAATAATAATAACAGATGATATTATTTTTTTATTTATTGTTATTATTATTATTATTATTATTATTATTTTCGGATGCTTTTTAGTAAATTGTTGAAGATGAAACTAGAGGAATGTTGGATGATAGGAACACATTGTTGAAGATGACATGAACATGCAATTTGATAGGATGTGAATTGAGGGGATAACCTGAGAAAGTTTCATGAGTAGAGCATTTTGTTGACTCTAAAAGACAAAGATCAACATACATGATCACGAATTAAACCACATATACGATAAGACAAAATAGAGATTAAATAAGCGTGTCTCCAAATGTTAAGCATTTTTCACTAGTCAAAGCAAACCACAAATCATTACCCTAACAAGCAAAATATAAAGTTGCTGGACGACAATCTTAAAGCAACCGAGGGAACACTCCACGCAGAGTTCCAACAGTGCACCTTCCCACCGAGGAAGCCATGACCGACCACCCCCCTACTTGGATCTCTGCCTCATCTTTCGTCTCTTCCTCTTGAGTCTCCTCATGCGCTTCTTCTTCCACTGTGGTAATAAAACAGTTCAGTTGTGAATATTATTAGGGAACACAACAGAATTGTAATCCTATATTATCCACAAACTTAAATCAGATTAATGGGCGAGTTCATGGTGGGAGACAAATCTCAATGGTCCAAAAAAAAAAAAACAAAGAAAGCAAGATCCATGCCTCACCTACTTCTAAACTCTCACGTTCTATATCAAGGCAAAAGAAAGAAAAAAATGCATGACCGATGGCTATCATGCTCGATGCACATAGTTCACTTTGGATTAACCTAAGTCTTCTCATCTGTCTCAACATTTGCTCTTTCCGAAATAAAATCTCTTAGTAACAAAAACAATGTAGCATAGATGATGATGAGATGAGCGCAAGCAATGCATGAACACTTCCCTACTCCTCAAACAAACAAGTGTTGTTTTGGAGCAGAACCAGAATCTTGGAAACACTTGCCAGAAAGAAGGAATGCTATTCTTGGAGTAGAACATGAATCTTAAACAAAATTCAGAAGAAAAAAAACTTCACCCTTTTATGATTCCACATGGTTCCTTCCAAACGAAAACAAAAACAACGCACAGATTATTATGCCAATCAATAATGTAGTTTCAGGTCACCCTAATCACATCTCTCAAAAATTAGGAACAAAAGGTACCATTTTTTTTCTTATCAAATATGCCAAAGACGATGGCAGAGCAATAACCAAATCAAGATTCTTTTTGAAGCCCTAATGCAAACAACCCAAGAAAATGCATCTTTCTCGGATAAATTATTTTTTCTTCTCGAAGAAGAAGCTCCCAAACATACAGAGACCGAGAACAAAAAACTACGACCATATCAAGCTCTTCTAGCCAAAAGACATCGCTTTCCTTATCAACAACAATCTCTCTCGCGTACCAAGAACAAGAACAGATCTATAATCAGTATAGATTTTATCCAAGCTCTCATAAAAAGATACATCTTTGTCGCAATCACGACAGAAAGTAAACGCTTTTCCTCTCAAAGAAAGGAACCCATACATACTGAGACCAAGAACATAACTACTATCAAATCGAGCTTTTCCAAACTAGTAAAGGATCATTAAAAGTCACTTCAAACCTGTAACGAAATCCAAAACGATTACCCCTAAAACAAAAACCCAGGATCACAAGAAAAGAATCAGGGAAACAATTTGTATCTCAAAGCAGCGGCAACAACAAACGGAGTGAAGAAAATAAACAGGAACAAAACCACACCTTTGCTCTCATCTCGATGGAACAGCCGAGCCTACGATGCTTTCCCTCTCGATCGCTGTCTTTCCTGGTGCGGCGTCGAGGTTGCAGGTCCGGAGTGGTATTTTGGAGTCCCTATATACACGGTCGAACCCTAAGGGTAGTTTCGTTATAATAAAATATTACAGACACTAAAGGGCCAAGTGTCGAGGTGGTCGAATCGGCCCAACCTTATTGAAGCCCAAGTGACTCGAATGGGCCGGACCGTGTGGCGAGCTGGTAGAACCGGTCCGTACAAATAGGCTGGACCGTATGGCCCCATGACAAACGTATTTAAGCCCAGGCGATATGAGCGACCTAAATGATTCGAATGGGCCGGACCGTGTGGCGAGCTGGTCGAACCGGTCCGTTTCCGATCACATCCTCGTTAAAGCCGAGCGATCCAACTGAGCCAGATGGGCTGGTGATCTCGTCGAATCGGTTCCTATTAATCTTAGCTCGGTTCGGTTCGCCCAATCATAACATCATTAAAGCCCTTCGTTTCCAGTACTACATATACACCTCAGCGGGCTAAGGCTTTTATTTTCGGGCAAGAGCACATCAAAACTCATTATCTAATTGGCTTGATGAACAAAATGGCCCAACATTAAATTGCTATTTTGAGTTTATACATATATATATATTCTTTTTATGATCATATAATTGTAATTTATAGCCGAGGAAAATTATTCATTAAATATTCTCATGCTTTATTTTATTTTCTTTAAATGAAGAAAATGGAGTCTCAGCCCATCATGATGTGATAGCAACGAAGAAATCTACTTTGCAACTCAAAAGGAAGAAGAAGAAGAAAACATAAAAATACTTGGACTTTATGAACTATAAGATATATACTATTGAGCTGCTAAGAAGGTATGATCAGTGCCTCCTTTGGATCGAGTCAGATTGCGTGTTTGACAGTGCCACCATCTGCAACCTAAATGTTTGATTATAATACCAGCCTGTTGTTAGATGTTGACGAACAAATCGAGATGGACTATATAAAGTACAGTGATGAGCGCGTCATCTTGGCAACTTGAGCATAGATTGAGTCGTCACTTGACATCATCCCGTACATGTTTTGATCATTCATTCATTCATTCTGATACATGCACATATACATGAAAAATTTGTCATCGATGAACTCAACCTGGGGCTGTTCTTCTTCCGTTTCGTCAACTTCTTTTCTTCAACCTCACGCAGCCATGCAGATGGATGTTTCAGTTTCCTCCGTGGAAGCTCCGGCAAGATGATGCTGCAACATGCTGCATGTCCTTTTCTTGAGGTCCTTCGTCAAAGCAAACAAGCTTTCTGCAATCATTTGGTGTTTATTTCTGATGATTAATTCCGTTGCTAGCTTAGCTACTTGGATCGAATGGGTCAGTTGGTACACACGAGGATATATTTCGGATGAGGCTGCAGTCTTGTATACAGCTCGCAGTGTTGAAAAGTCAAAACCACAACTCATGCGGAGAGGTGTATGTAGCAAAGTCAAAGTTTTCTCCAAGTGGAAAAAGTCTCAATGTACTACTATATGAATAGACTCAAAGTTGCTTGAAGCGGTCTTAAACCGGCCGTCCGTCCGTAACTGTTGCTCAATCCTTTTCAGCGAAGAAGAAGATCGATCGATCTTGGAATAGAATTGGAAGGACGAGAGCAGAGAAGAGATGCAGAATCAGTTTCCTTGAATACTCGTAATATGTTTGTTTTCTTAAGATGACCAGTTCTTCGTCAGCGATTGGTTTGAAGTTATATGACGTTCATGGAAAGAACAGCCACACGAGGTTTCAACACTTGTGTTCGTTTTACTACGAACAACACGGAAACATCTGCTTCTTACTGCCATGGATCGAGTGGATGGTAAAGGGCTATTAATTTATTCTTTTGGTCCATCTTGGATGCCACTTAGGGTGTTTTTTTCGCTCTCCCTTCTTCTTTCCTCCTTTAATCGCCATGGAATTGGGGTGGGTCGGTCGATCGCTAATCCATGTGGTGATGACAAGCTAGTAGCTGCCTAATGATGATGCAAGCAGTCAGCCTAACACAGGCAGGCAGTCAACTGTTTTGCTTGATGATGGTCGCACGGTTCATGCTACACCTCATATGAGCTCATGCTGTAGTTGTCTTCTTCGGTTGCATGGTTCTCCGAAGCACGGCAGTCTACAATGTAGAAAAGGAGATATCTCCTTGTCAAATGGCCTTAGCAGACGTCATATCGATCGAGACACATGCAAAAGAACTCAATCCATGGCTTCCTATGTAGGCCCGAAAGATAAGACGGTCGTCAGGAGTGGCACCACAAGTACAGACGATGATGATACACGCTCGATGTTTGGTTCCCAACCAATAATGAAGCCTAAGAATGATGGGACAAGTCTTTTGGGATTGAAACCTACCACCCTACGACGGATGTGGCAACTGTTCATATGTCCGAACGACACACTTCCGCATAGTGAGATATCTCATCCGCTGCCGATGGCTTTCTTGCGGTGTGGGCGCGGCGGTTCACACGGCTGAACAGATGCAAAGGCCGCCTCGCGTGCATGTGAGGTGTCATCAGCATTGCTTGTTGGACGAGTTCAGACCGGTAAGCACTGATGCGATCCCTCATCAAATGAAGTAGGTGTGACGATTCGGTGTGAACCAAAATGGACCGGTGATGCCTCCATTGCCTGCACAGATTTCTTGATAGCATATGCTTTCTTTGTTTGTTTGTTTCTTTGTTTGTTTGTTGCGGGAAAATAACATATGACTATTCTTTTTCTTTCTTTGTTTCCTTTTTCCATTGGGGAACACAACAGCGCGCGCGCGCGCACACACACACACAATGTTTTATCTTCAGCTTTCTCCTTTTAAGTGGTTGACTTGCACCTTATACCTTCCCATCTTCCTACCTCTTTAAGGATCTACTCTCCTTCCTTGTCTTTGTATTCCTCTTCTCTATTAGCCTCCAACCATCCTCTCTCTCTCTCTCTCTCATCCAAGCACAGGCATGGCTATGAGTCACTTGAGCATGGTGGAGGCGAGACTGCCACCAGGGTTCAGATTTCACCCTCGGGATGATGAGCTCGTTTGCGACTACCTGGAGAGGAAGGTGTCCGGGGAGAATGGAAATGGCGGCATGCACGGGTGGCCTGTAATCGTCGACGTTGATCTCAACAAGTGTGAACCATGGGAGCTTCCTGGTGAGTTCGGTGACCACCATCTCATGAGAGCTTCTCATCATGAGAGATTTGCATCGATTTCCAACTTCATCGCTACTTCTCTCATCCGAGCTATCTGTTCTTTTTGGAAAGGGAGAAGCAATCAAATTGCATCTTTCATTTTCTGAGATCCGTCGTTTACGATATATGATGGAGATAGAATTTGGTTAGTCAAAAAAGATAAATCTTGCTGTAGATCAAACTGAAGAAGGCTTCCTATTTGATTTCCTCATATTACTTTCTCATTAATATTCTCCTATATTGTACGAGGCAAAGATTTTTCTGAACATCATGAATTAGAACTATATGTCAACAGGATAATAATTTCTCAAGGTTTTTTTATTTATTTATTCTTTGTTGTTCAGAGGGAGGAAAATGGAAAATTTGTTTTCTTCTGATATATTAGAACCAGAAAATTGTCAGCTTAATGGTTTTAAACATCTCCATCATCTCTCTTTTTTTTTTCTGCTTATTTTACAGCTTAAATTCTGTTCAAGTGGAAGCTATTTGAGGTACAATTAATTAATTATCACATAGCAGTAGTATATACAAATAGCATAAGTTTCTCTTTCTCAACCCCAAAAAGAAAACAAAATAAAAGAAGAAAAAGGAAGAGTTTCTATTCATATCTATCTTTATGAGATAATTATATATATATAATTTAATTGGAAAGAGACTGTTTGTCTTCCCAATTAAATGATGAGTCCAATCTCCACACGGCTTGTCTTCCTCTTTTAACTTTCTCTTCCTTGCTGACACAGAAATATCCTTTTATCTTTCCATGTCAACCTTACAGTAATCTACACCTCATTTCTGCCTCCTAAAATATCAATAGTAAAACATACGCAAAAGAATTATATCTTCATTTTCGACAATCAAGAAGATTGTATCATTTTTTTCTGAACCTTAATTTTTTCTAAAAAAGAAAAGAAGAAGAAGAAGAAGAAGAAGAAGAAGAAGAAGAAGAAGAAGAAGAAGAAGAAGAAGAAGAAGAAGAAGAAAATGTTTCTGTCACTGACCACACCTTTGCAGCCAACAAAAAAACAAAGAAAAGAGAGATAACATATACTTCTTTAAGTCACCAAAATATTTAGACTTAAGTTGATAATTATAATATATTTATTTATAAGATTTCTGCGTGACTGAACAAAAGATGTTACACCGATATATCAGAAATGGCGTGCGTAGGCGACAAGGAGTGGTACTTCTTCAATCTTCGGGACCGTAAGTATGCCACCGGACAGCGAACGAATCGAGCAACTCGATCGGGTTACTGGAAAGCGACCGGGAAGGACCGACGGGTGGCCCGAAGGGGGATGCTCGTGGGCATGAGGAAGACGCTGGTGTTCTATCGAGGCCGAGCTCCCAAGGGTAGGAAAACCGATTGGGTCATGCATGAATTCCGCATCGAAGCATCCTCCGACCCTCCCAACTTCTCCTTCGAGGTATTATTGTCACCATTATCATCGAACACCATCATGATCTCAAACAGGCTTTACAGCTCTTGTTCTTCTTAATTCTCAATCATATATCATCAACTTAATGTATGCTTCGCATTCCATAGGAAACCTTCATCTTCTTTCTTCTCGTCTCATCGACCACTTACTTCTTCATCCGTTGTCTTCCAACAGGAGGATTGGGTCCTGTGCAGGGTGTCCTCCAAGACCAGAGGAGTGATCACCAAGCCTGATGTCAAGAATTATGATGATGACACAAGTTCTTCCTTCAAGAACACGTACATCACCTTCGACCAAGCGCCGCGTAGCTTAGAGGGGTTCGAGCAAGTGCCCTGCTTCTCCAACTTCACCGCACAGCTTGCTGCTGCAGCTCCTCCTGTGGGCTCACCAGACCTGAGTTATTACGATAACAAGTTCTCCGCAAGGCCTGCCTTCGACCACTTCCCCAAATTGAATCCTCCAAACATAATTCAGGAAAACTTAGGAAGCTACTTTGGTGAAAATGCTGTCTCTCACATTTGGAATCCTTTTTGAGTTCATTGAATTTGTGAGATTGATAGTGACATACCATTTGGAGCAGGGGGACATCTTTCTTGTATATATACGCATTGGTCTAACGATGTCCCCACACAAGGAAGGAAGGAGGACTGTTGTGTGTGTGCTTGGTGTAATACTTTTTCTAGGGAGTGATTCCTTTGTGACAATACAATAATTTATACAAGTGATTAATGTGTCACTGATGTCCATGGTGTTCATTCGAAAGTTTTGCAGATGTCTGATATCTCAACCATCTGCTATTTCTTTGCCTTTGTGCATTAGTATTTATTTTCAACCAATCAATCAGGAGGGAGTTTCTTTAATTCGATCCTAAGTAAATTGCTCATCCTATTTCCTTCAGGGAGGATGGATGGATGTAGCATAATAACCAGTAAAAACTACTGCTCGAGACCATGTCCAAGCTATAGTGAGTGTGTACTTGTCCTATAAACATAGCAAAATTTTGTGCAATGACAGCCTGTAGAAGCAACCCTCTCCTTCAACCAATCACCTAATTCTCAGGAATCCTTTAGTTGAAAAGAATAAGAAAGGTTTTTTTTGGAACCAACAATCCCACATTTTAGTAGAGAATGGATACTCAAAAAAAGAAAAAAAAGACATGGTTTATTCTGGTGTAAGCGTAAAATTACTTTGGAAAATTTGTCTGTAGAATTCATGTTTTCATCCATTATGAAAGGAATGCTATTCTTTTCTTTAATGCACCATCAAATTCATCCAAGAGCTGCTCGACGCTTCTCCTTGATGTCGACATGTTGTTGATCTCGAAGGCTCTTAGCTCATGCCTCAGATCTGCAAAAGCAATGTTTAGCATATTTCTGAATGAATACTAAAGAAGATATTCCAAAATATATACAGAATTTTTCTTCGATCCAACTTGCTGCTCAACAGGATTTGAGTGGATGATGTTAGTAGGAATGTGACAGACATACCCACTAAATTCATAGATTTGAGTGGAAAATCTGTGCCATTGGTGCTTAGGAACCGAAGAAAGTTCTTCATAAACTCTGGCGTATCGGTACAAACCAAGAGCTCCCTCTGCAACATAATAATCAGTTAATATTTTCACCAAAATCTCAAGAAATCAAGCATTAAGAGAAACATGAAACATGGATTTTACCTTAAAATTCTTCTGCCTATCATAGTGTCCTGAAACAATCACAAATAGTCGAAGCTTTTCTGACTCTGAAAGATAGCATCAAATTGAAATTTCAAACTAGTTTAGGTAGCAAGTTTGTGCTTCTAATAGAATTTCCTTTTTCTCAAGTGATTTCAGCATTCCAGAACAAGCAGCGTAGAACTTTTGATCTCTAAATCATTTGTTAGAATAGAGAACAAATTGATATATGCCGAGTGACAAACCCAGTGGAGACAATGAATGATCCAAAATTCTGTTTACCCTGGCAGCTGACATTCCTAGGATAATATTGGGAACATAAGTATCCAACTTTTACTGACAGCATGCTGACGGAATTCTATTACCTTGAAATTGAATCACCTCCTTCGCAGCTGAATCCTCGTGCTTAAGAAGTTCTTCGATTGAAATACCAATTGAACTCATCCCGGTGTTGGGTATGTTATGCTTTCCTGGTTGCGGAAAGTATCAGTGTGATGAAGAACTCACAAGAAGAGAGAAAGCAAACAAAAAAAAGGAATTCATCATGGTAAAACACAAGTTATATCAAGCTGATGTTTTAGTCTACTCTAGATAGTATTCTTCCTAGATCAAGCTGATGTTTAGAAATTAGGACCGATGGTGATCATACCTGAATATGTACTCCATTTCTTGAAATCCCTACGGAGGATATCTCTAACCTGAAGTTCCGATATATCTGATATTTTGTACTTCACTGCAAATATTAGATGTTCTGGAAATTACTAACATGACAAGAGAACACAAAAAATATACAAAAAGAAAAGACAAGATTCATTTAACAGTGAACATAGATCACATTACATTCTTCAGAAATTTTACCTGTTGAGAACTAACCCATATGGAAACATATAGAACATAGCAGCCATAGAACTTTATATGATGATTAAGCCATTCTACTTTTTCTCTTAAGAAACATCAAAAGTGTTGCAGTGATCAAACGGAAAAAGATACATTTATCTAGTTCGAAAAATAGAAAAGGTTGTTCGATTGGCCGTTGTTGGCTAGACATGCTTCTATAAACCGAATTTAATTATAGTTGGTCAAAAATTTTAACAACTCACAGAGCTGGTAAAGTCCACTGCATCCAAACCGACCGGCTCCTTTGATCAAGAGTGTTGCCATGTACTTATCTTTTGCAGTGCAGTCGGCACCAGTCAGATTTTTTGTGTCTAAAAGGATTCCTGATAGCTGAACCAGAAGAAAATGCAACTGTTAGTGATGGTAAAAATAATTATCTACTGGGATTTTCATATTAAAAAATGATTGATGGATGATGGTTCTAAGAAATAACTTTTTATTACAAACTAAAAAGACAACATTTCCTTTTGGGCAGGCATTTTGTTTGAGTTTTCAAGATTCTGATGCTATTTCTTCTGTAACAGTGCTAATTTTTTGAAGTTGCACAGACATTATAACTGTATGATTAAGAAGAAAAAAAACGTAGATCTGTCGTGACACCATGGTTATTAAGAGAACAACATATTGTAGCAGATGTAATGTTACCAGCAATCTGCTAAATCCCTGCCCTGCTAGGATTTCCGGTGATGTCTCTGCGTACTTCTCAGCAATGAGAGTACAACATGAACAATCCTGTTTCAATGAGAAGGCACAAGAACATTTTCTACAAGTTAATATAGATGATGATACATCTATTAAACATGAGGTATAATGAGCTCCCTGTGCAACGATATCACTGGGTCATACATAAACTATTCAGTTTCATGATACTAATAAAATTGAACTAATCAGAAGTTGACGGATGAGCAAAACAAAATTTTTGAGCAGCTGTGTTGTTTATATATGCTCGAAACCGTGCTGTTCTAGTGGTTCAGTTTGGCACGCTTAATGATGTAAACATTTGACTTCAGAGATCAAAAGCCCAAAATTTTCTTCAGTGATTCTTGTTGAAAGAAGTAACAGAGGAACAAACACATCACTCATTGGCCATCCACATATACAGAAGTAGGCTTACACTTTATTTTATAGAAGAGAAACAGTGTACTTTTCCATGTTTGTTTATGGAAGAGAGGAACAGCATACATAACCGAAAGCTAATGCTTTACCTGACTCATGGTGACATCTTCAAGAGAAGCACTTTCAGAGCAAACCTAGAAAGAAATCAATTATGAACAATAACATGATGAGCAGCAAGTTATTCTGACACTGTGGTGCCATACTTACCTCTTTGCAGTTGAACATTTCGATCGGTACATCTTTCAGCCCCTGCACCAACCAAGGTTTCATTGAGTTCCCAATTCCATATCATTTTGAGATGGTAGCAACTGAAACTAAAGAGTACCTCCTTGTTGGGTGGAAGCTTGTGGTCATTCACCAGTACTAGCTTCAGATTTCCAAACCGATTGTGATATGAAAGGTCAATCTGTTTTCGGAATTCAGAATGATCCAAACATCTACAACAAAATCTAGATATGTTCGTCTTAAGGATGCTGAATTGTACCTCATCAACAAAAACTATGGATGATTCATCAACTCGACATGAATTAAGCAACCATTTGAGCTCTGAGTGAGCCATAAAATCTGCACGCTTGGTGTTGATGACCGGCAACACGCAGTGTTGGCTACTTGTTTGAGTCTCATTCAAGAAAAAAGCACAAGCGATCGTAGAAACAACCGATCCAACATCTGACATAGTAACATGTGATATGTTAAGAAAATCACACTAGGAGATTTTTGCCGAGCAAATTAATTTTTTGAATCATGTTATCATGTATGCATGCATACCGGCAACTGCTTGTCCAATCACAGCATGCAAGAATTGTCCTGGGACACCGGCTTCGACATCAGCCTTCCTTTGCCTCAGGTATTGGTTTAATCTATCAATACTTTCACACGCTTCCAAGATGGAAGAATCATTTCTTAGTGAGATGTTTCCAAAGAATGCAGCAGCAGACTGAGCCGAAGAAGAAGTAGAAGGTCTACTATTCCTTTCAGCATCACTGGAAGCTCTTGTGAGCTCTGTCTCAACATCAGAGATTTTAGCTAATTGATCCTTCTCAAAATTAGACTGTTCATTTGGATATAACGATTGGTGTTCTCCGAGCCCGGACTTCAACACCAGGTTTTCCGGCACTGTTTTGCTGGTGTTGGCTGTACCTGGAGGTCTCTGCTTGTAATCCACCTCCCTTAGGGAATGTGATAAGCTTGTGCTTGTGGTGTCTTGTGAGACGTATATCTTCGTTTGAGTTGAAACTCTTACCTGCATTTCGGTAATCGGAGAATGATCGATCTTGCTTGGTTTACGAAAAAGAAATCCTTATGATGTATTAAGTTTGGTTTCCTGAATCGATCGATTTGATGTGTTTCTACTCTTAACTTAAACTGAAAGAATTAATTTGTTCTGTGGAAACATCATCTGATGGTATGCTCAGGTATTCAAGCTGATCATTATCTGTAAGCTATGAAATTATACAAACTGAAAAAGATTTCCCTTGTTTTTGTGCGTGTGTGTGTGTGTGTGTTCTTGTTCTGTACTACAAATCAGTGATCATGCTAAATCGGTCAATTTGCAAAGTAGAACTCGTCTATATCTATCTATCTTTAACTTTGCTAAAACTCAAGCTGCATAATTTCATCGATCATGATGATTCACGAAGTTGCTCGACGGAATTGCATAAGCTACTTTATCAGCACCAAAGAAATCCAAAAATCGATCATTCAGAAAATGTCATTGGGGCTGAACTGAATCATCCTAACCTTGTGCTTTCCGGTGCTAAGCAGCTTCAGGTTCCTCATCTCGTCGTGGATCAGACTGATGAAAACCATGAAGATGCACGCGCCGCTGCATATACTAGTAACCGGTGGCAGAGGATGGAGAAATGGACAAAAGTGTTGTTGTTGTTGTTGCGGTGTCCGCCTGCAGCTTTGGATTACTCACTACGAGCATATCCTCCTTTGTTCTTGTGTGTTTTTCTAGTGGATTTTGTCATCTTTCGGGTCTAAGCCTTGGTTTCTTGGAATTAATGATCGTCTCCAAACAAAGCAAGCTAACGCATCCAATTGCCTCCGAGTAAGCGAGATCGATGCACCCTAAGGAAGAAGTTTCAGAGAGGTGTTGGTATCACGGAGAGTGAAAGGATGTCGAGAACAGCAGGAAGCCAAGGGAGGATGAAAGAATTCCATCTCCAAGACAGAATCTATTGATTTATATTCTTAACAAAGTTGATATCATCAATCGGTCCGATTCAATATCGTCAGCCTTTAAATTTCTTTCATGTATTTGGCCAAAACTCTCCCTCCCTCCCTCTCTCTCTCTCTCTCTCTCTCTCTCTCTCTCTCTCACACACACACACACACACACACATTCATTATGGCTTTATTATCTATTTCTTGTTTGCTAAAGCTGCGAACTGAGCTTCACGTAGCACTTAGATCTTCTGATGTCTACTAATAAGAAAAAGCTATGAATCGTATAGCACAAAGATCCCATTCCGGCAAGGGTTAGAGCATCAGAGAGAAAGCAATCCGCAGGATTAGACGAGGCTGCTTTCTTGTCTGCCCACGAGGACATACTACTAAGTTGAGTTCCGGAGATGTCCACCAAAGCGAAAGCACAAATCATACGATCACTGATCTACCTTTTGAATTCTCGCCCACCGAAGATCTCCTTGGCGACACATCCACTTCTTATCCGTCTCACCAACCCTATGGGCTGGACTCGATGATCCAAACGGAAGAACACAGCTTCCGTCCGTATCTTTCATAGAAGATAATTGGAGAAAATTTATATTGATCGGGAGGAAGCTTAGTCAACACGAAGCACAACTTTTGGCCGAAAGAAAGACTGGACCCAAAAGCGTGCACACGGAAAACATTCGAGTTACAAGAACTCGTACTACACGAGTGACAGAGAGAGAGAGAGAAGCGGTTTTAGCCTAATGGCTATCGTTATATGTCGGCATCGTCACATCAACCCCACTGCTGTGGTCTCAAAGGGAATCTGCCGCTGTCTGACCTTTGTTGCCTTTGGGAAGAACACGTTAGCAACATCAATCATCATCCAACATAAGAACATATTTCTTCATTAAATATATCATATATATATATATATATTTATTTTTGTTTTGGGTGTAAACAGCAAGGTGCAGGTGAGGACACTTTACGATATATTTCAACAAAAATTCTCGATCACAGATCTCTCCTTCCATGCAGAAGACCCGATTTGATTCTTCTACCCAACCCTAATCGCACTCGTCAAGCTTCTTCCTGCTTCCGGTTTCCTCCCGTCTTGTCCTCGACGATCTTTGTCCGTCTTCGGCCGAAAGAGATGCCGCCTGACGAAACCTTTTCGGTGGGACAGGCACTACCTACGGAATCCAAGACAAAAGCTTATAGCGTTCTCTTTCATCTCTACCGTCCACTCTTCCGAGAAAACACATCTTAAAGAAATCGAACGGTAGATAACGACTCTACAATAGATTTCACATACGCTCGTCGGCCCGTCCCCCTCGAATCTTAGCGATGACCGCTCATCGTGGAGGAGCTCCCAAAAGAGAGGGAGTGGGAATGGTGGTGCGCAAAAATTTCTCCGTCCAAATTTTATGAGGTCATAGTCAACGCGAGTCATCGCGTTCTTTTTTCCTCCTCGTCGTCTTGGTGTTATAAAAGAGGGTGTCCGAATTATTGGGAAAAACAACATGACTCTCTCTGCATTGCAGACATATGTCAGATGCTAATCGATAAGTCCATGATGAATGATTATACTGCATAAATTAATTAGGTTGCTAAGTAGAGTTGCTATAATTATGTCTTTGGAGAGCGGTGGTGCGCAGTTTTCGGTCTATGTATAGCTTCCATGGATGCTGCTGTGTTATCTATCCATCACCGCATCGTGGTTGACTCCTTTCAATAGGAGATTTCTTTAGCCTGTGAGGAGTGTGATGCCGAGCCATCATTTCAACAAGTAATTAGGAGAGGAACGTTCTCTCGTCTTGAACTTAAACTTTCAGAGAAGTCAAGATCAGACGTATGAGATTAGTGACGACCACCAAAATCCAAATTTAGGCGCTGAATTGCTAGACGTCACAGATTAGCATGTTGTTTCTTTTCAGCATTGTTTAAGCTCTTTTACAGCTCGAGTCACAAACTCGATCAATTTTATTGTTCATCTCTCTCTCTCTGTCTCTGTGAGTTGATGCTGAACATTTGGAAGATCTTACTGATCAATTCCACAGTGTGTTCTGTGGTCGATTCGGATGAAACACAAATCAAAGTTGGCTTTGTTTCTAAATCCAAAGTTGTTCTCATGACAGCTAAATCATCCGCAACACAAAAGGACAAAGAACAATATAAAAATCTGCTCGATGAACAATCTCCGAACTCACTGACTAATTAGTATGATACACGAAGCCATTATTCTATGTGGCATCCACCACTTGCATCATCGAAAATATATAGCAATGTCTCTGATGCCCCATGGACCAAGCCCATTCATGACATCTGACTGATACCACCGATAAACTAGCAGCATCATTATTACTCGTATGAATCATACCGCGCACACGAACCGATTGTTGACTTGATATGAGATCCGGAGATCACACCGAAACAGTGTACAGCGCACAACCAAAAACAATCAACTTCATGCTATCTAGTGTATTTTAACCCGCTAACCTCACAACCGAGAGTGTTCGAGGAGGAGCAATGTTGAGGATGCTAACGATCGATCCATGAGCTTGTTTGATCTCCACGAGTATGATTTACTGCCAAAGTTAAATTGCCGTGCATGTAAATGCGTAAGAATTAGAAAGAGTGTCTGTTTCGACATCGTCAAAGGAATGTCATCTTGTTTCTGATAATTTGTAGGGTGATGATGGCTGCGAGAATCTAAACTCATCCAAATACTTGAGACAAACGTAGTTCAGTGGCTCACAGGCGAAAGATAAAAGAGAGAGATATATATGTATATATATTCCTTACAGCAGATGAGAAGAAAGGCCCAGCTGCCATTTCTTTATATTTTCCTTACCTTCAGCAAGCTTGACATAATATATGGTGACCTCCTTTTTCTCTCTCTCTCTCTCTCTCTCTCTCTCTCTCTCCTTTAGCCAGGTGCAGAAAGAACAAGCGAGATTAAGCGGCAAAACCCTTGCTAGGGTTCGCTAAAGTTTGGAGTGGTGGGGGAGGGTGGTGAGGATTGCACCCTATAAGTGGCTGGTCTTGGACCTTGGCCATTTGTTTACCTTTTAGGAAGGGAATACTCCACCGAGGTCTACAAGTTTCTATCACCTCACTTCCTGACCACCCCCAAACCTTTCACCTCTATCTGCTTCTCTTTCTTTCTGATCTCCAGAAATTTGGCGGTGAAGGGTCTTGGAGAAGAACTTTATGGGCTTCTTTTTCTCTGTGACCGACTGCCTCGGAGAAAAGGAAGAGGAATTGACTCCATATACTAACTCATCTGTTAGAGTTGTATCCGTTCGCTGTCTTCCGAGAGAGGAAGGATGATGTGAAGGAACGCAGGTGACAAGGGTTGTGCCTGGCTCCCTGTACGCCACACATGTAGATCGATATCTATGGGGAGATTGGCTACTGTGGGTGGCGTGCAAGGAGCCAAGCACGCCTTCTCTCTCTCTCTCTCTCTCTCTCTCTCTCTCTCTCGTGATCTTTGTGTAGCAGATCATCGTAGGAATTCTCTCTTGCATGATCGCTTTTGATTTCCTTTGCAGCGATATCTTGAAGGAATTATATATGATCAAAACAACTGCTAGTATTCATTGAACTTTGAAAATGAGGATTAAGATTGCTGTCGGATTGCCTGCTTTGATTGTTTCTTATACATATTCCTATGGTTGTATGGTTTGAAGTATTACACTAGTTCAAATGCTTCATCCATCGATTGGCTACTATAAATCCCACTAATAAGCGTAGATGATTTCATGGAACACCATACTTGAATCGACCATGAGGGTAAAGCTTCTGTGATTCTCATTCTCCTCCTTCTCATTATTAATTAATTTATAGTAAATGGAACCGATCGGTTTTGGTTCAGACCTCCAAAGAATGCTTCCTACAATTCTTCCCCCTTTTTCCCTTTATTTTACACCTGTTTTTGTTCTAAATGAATTCAACGGGAAATCTAATTCTCCTCTCCGATGGATATATGTGCTCAGATGTGTCAGTTCTTTGAATCACTTGATGTGATTTATGATGGCATCTCTCTCGTAATCGATCAGGAAGGATTATTTAAACATCCTCAACTTCTACAAACCATATCGTTTCTTGTCCTCCTCCTCCTCCTCATCATCATCATATAACTCATGTTAGTCTTCTCCATTTCAATTCTATGAGCTTTTATTCCCAAGAGGACATCGATCCGTATGCTTCACTCAAAATACTGACGTGGTTGCCTCCTTCCAAGCTTATGTCTTCACTCGAAGACTAATTTGCTGCTCTCAGTATCTTTCATATCTTGAAATGGATCCGCTGACAAATTTGATCTAAGCTAAAGGCAGTACGTAGAATATATGTATGTGTATGTATATCCATTTCTGCTAGGTATTTTAACATGGAGGCTTTATTCTCTCTCTCTCACACGCACACACACAAACACAAACACATTAATCCCTATTTCTTTGTTTCGTACGGCATGTGACAGACCAGCAATCAGTTCTCTCTCTGTCTCTCAGAGACACACACAAACACAGATTAGTCCCTAGTTCTTTGTTCTTGCAGCATGTCACACTGTCTCTCAGAGACACACACAAACACAGATTAGTCCCTAGTTCTTTGTTCTTGCAGCATGTCACAGAGACTCGTGATCGGTTGATCTCTCTCTCTTTTCTCTAAAGTTTCTGCATTATGGCAAATGTGTACGGTACTGCAATTCTTCTTAATGTATCATTGTTCCATTCTCAGTTTGATTTGACTACAATCTCTCTCTCTCTCTCTCTCTGGATCAATTAAACCGAGCTCGAGCATTAATTCCAATGCCAAACACACCCTCTCCTCCATCAATCAAGTCACCGGTCAGGTATATACTTCCCACTTCGAGCAGTCCCCTAAAGCTTGAAGATTCTCCATGGACCGGGCAGAAGCCCCGAGTGTCGTGGCTCAGTGAGAGGGTGTCAGCTTTCCATCCTTCCGAGGAACCGAGCACTTTGGTTGTCCTCCGAAAAGGAATTTTCAACAGCAGTGAAAGCAGCCCATTGGCACACATTCTCCGGAACCAATGCAGGCAGCAGCTTTACCTTCTTCCCTGTCCCCAATGCATTTCTTCTTTATACATGTACCTCATGCTGCTGCTGCTTTTGTACTATCAAATAGCAAGGCGGTCGTTCCTCATCTTTTCCGCCCCGCCTTAATCGTTCTTCTCATTCAGTTGTTTCCTGTGAATGCCAAACTGCACCCTTGCTGATACTAATAACATCAAGATGATTTACTGCACGAGACTTTTACGGTCACACAGTATCCGAGGATGACGAGTATATATTTTTTTGTGTCAACAACATGAACAAATCGATCTTACTGTAACACTAATGTTTTATCTCCTCAAGTCTCCTGACTCATACATATATTGGGGAGTATATATATATATATACATGTGATCTATAAAGCAGTTTACTGGGATAAAAATATCGGCCACAGCATAGAGTTACAGCAAGACATGGTTCAGCTTAAACATAGGTATCTATCTATCTCTCGAGTAGAAGAATGTTGTAGTTTCATGGCTATGAATAAGTTGGTACTTTATAATATTATTCTCTTATTATTCTCCTTGTTTTAAGTGACTCTTTTCATTGTTTACATATTCTAGTTAACTGGCTCTGCAAATTATGGGTCTGATTGAGTTGGTTTCTCTCTTGCTTTCGGAGGAGGATTTGACTCCAATTTCAAATTTTTGTGGAGATGATGCCAAGGATTCGACCCAAGTGTGATTCCTTTTTTTTTTTTTTTTTGATGTGAGGGATTAACTTCCTCCACAAGTCCTTGGAAAAGAAGAAGAAGAAGAAGAAGAAGAAAAGGGTGAGTGAAGGGCACTAGTTAAATAGTGGAGTTGTGGCACCGAGACACCGAGCAAGACAAAGTTATGCTTTCAAAGGTTTGAATTTCTTTTTATTTATTTATTTATTTTTTGTTTGAAATGGGTGGAATTAGATGTTATCACCACAACAGTGACGACCACCGCAAATCGAAGATATCGGAGGGATGGATCAAAACAGGGAGCAGCTTGGACAACAAAAAAGACAAAATGAGCTTGGTCTTAGGCCTTCTTGAAACATGGACGGACCTACTTATGTTGGAAGAAGAAGAAGAAGAAGAAGAGAAACACACACACGCACACACAAAATTAAAGAAGAAGTTTAATTTTAACTCATTCATATTATATTTATTAAGCTTTTATAATATATATTTTTCTTTCTATCTAAGGACTTGACTTTCTCGTTAGTTAATATCCATCCAACGTAATCGATCATCAAATCCTAATATGGGGTACGTGAGACTCAATCTAGTTCACTAGATTGCTTCTCTTTAATCCTCCTATTCTGAGACTCTGACAGACTCTCAAGGAGATGAGGAACAGTGCTTGCTGCTCATCTGCCAGAAGCTACGAGGGCTACTTCTCACACTGAAAGAAAGAAAGAAAGAAAGAAGCTTTACTCCTGATCCCTGTAAACTCTATGCAGCAAATTGTTTGACATCGTAGGAGCTATCTGCCTATGCCCTCCTTCACGGTGTTTCCAGCAGCCTTAAGCTTCCGAGACACACTTGAATCACATGGACCACACAGTGGAAACCAATGATGAACACAAAAGGAGGGGCACAGACCAGTCTCCAAATAATAATAATAAAAAGACTATAAAACTCGTGCAGATACATGGAGGGCAATGGGAAGCAGACCGAGCATGTCTTGTCCCTGTTGACAGCCTCAGTGGAGAGTGAGAGAAAGAAACCTCTGGCCAAGACAGAATGAGCCAAAGGCTAAAAAGTCATCAAAGGGGGGGGGGAAGCAGGTAGTCTCGTGGTCTTCGTGCCATTTAGGCATGTTGAGGGATGGGAACCAACCTGCAGAACCTGGCTAGCAGAAAGGACAACATCAACAGTACCGTTTTGTAAGCTTCTCTGGACTTATTATTGAAGCCATACACCTCGGCACTCTTGCATTGTACTGTCATACGAATCTTATCGAGTACTTGTCACTTCTCTTTTGCTTTTTCGGATTTATTGTTGTTGTTGTTGTTCTACTGTACAAGTCCTAGTTTCATAGCACGGTGAGCATAACAATCAGTAAAAAGAAAAATGTTGTCAAAGATCCAATGTTACGATGACCAAATATCGAGATAAATTGCACATCAGTTTTAATGATCCCATTTTTCTGAGAATGTTCATCATATACTTCATCTCAAACAACAAAGATAGGGCGAGAGAGCCTAAAACAAAAAAAAAACTTAAGATCGTCTGTATATATGATCTTAAGTTAGTATCATCTATACAGATATTTTAGAACCTAATGCAAAGTGACAGATACAGATGTTCATTATGAGCTGAGGGACTTTCACTTTGTCTTTGTAATAATGCATAATAACATGCAGCATTGTCTAATCAAGAAGATTTAACAACTCAAAACATACTCGACAGGCAACTGTATAAGACGAAGGTAAAATCTTCAAGCCATGAATGTTGCAGACATTCTTAAAATTGTTGAACTGCTGCAAGCCGCTAATCACTATCATACAGTTTTAGTTCTGTATTCTCCGTGAAAGAGTAGCAAACGAAGATGTAAAGTCACAACATATTTCTAATGATTTCAATAACAGATTGTTCTTGTAACTATCTTCTAATTCCAGTTGAAAGAAGGAAAATTAAAAATGTCGATAAATATGAAATCATGTAATTCATTCACTCCCTTCCACTTTCATCATCTGTGATTTCCTGGAAAACTCGAATCATATTTGGCTGCTTCGGTTGCTTAGGACACATTCTACTGTTAGAGCAAGCCTCGTTTTGCTGTCATACATCCAGAATCCCAAAGTCTAACGATCTCAACGAATTGCTCCACGCAGTCTTCTGAAGGATCAGAGGTTGGTTCTGCATCGAATGAGAGAGTGCGCCGAACTGATGAGTTTCCTTTTGCTGTTCTGCGAGAATTTTCAGACCTGAGATCGACCATCTCCTTGCAGTTCTGCGATATATGATGCCCCTGTCTCGGAACATATGTGACAATGTTCAAATCCGTGTTCTCATCTTGAAAAACTGCATCCTTGATTGACTTTGAGCAAGTGGGAGATCTGAGGTCCTTTTGTTTTCTACTGGGATCCGCTGCTGAATTGTTCCTTGGATTTTCATCAAGCAAGGGTCCATCTTCCCGTAGCACACTGGTGGAAGTGCTCCTTCCGCTGTGAAATGGAAAAGGTGTCCTTAAATATTCTTCAGATGACTCTCTGCTACTTTCAGTAGTGCAAATAATGGCTTTGCAACTGCTGTGGATCGCATTTTCTGATAATTCTTCTTCTTCCTCTACTATGTCAGCCCAGGTTCTCCTTTCACTCTTTTTGATCAATTGAGTCTGGAGATAATTTTCAGAAAAAACCAAAATTTTGTCATTAGCTACTATATCTATGCTTGAGTTTTGAGTTGCAAACTGTTCTACCTCTACCATTTCCTCCCAGGATTTTCTTTCACTCTTCTTGACCAACTGAGTCCTGGGATAATTTTCAGATGCAACTACAGTTGTGTCAGTAGCTGTTACATCTACCCTGAAGTCCTGAGTTGCTTGTTGTTCCTCTATCAAGTCAGCCCATGTTCCTCTTACACCAGCCAAGAATGAAGTGAATTTGTCCGTCTTTGCATCCACTGCACTAGAAGCCAGATTACTCCCAGAAATCTGACATGGATAGTTATTTGAGCTTCCTGTACAAGTCTTATCAACTAAGTTGTCAATTTGCCTCCCATTATTTGTGAGAGCATCGGATCCTTGATTCCAGTTTACATCAATATTAGAAGATAGGTTCCCATTCCTTTTCTCTTTTGGTGTTTTTACTGATTCGGTTGCCCATATGTCATTCAGGCTTCTGGGTTTCAGGATACAATCTTCAAATCTATGATTCGTGGCCACATGATCTGGTTTTGGTGTTCTGTCACTAGTCACAACTGAGGAATCTGGTGCTTGCCCTGTGTTCCCACTCAATAGGATTGAATTGTAATCAGAATCCAGGTACTCATGACATCTCATGCTCCACATCTCATATTCTTCTTTGCCACAATCATTGAATTTCTGACTGCCCTCACATAAACCCATGGATCTTTGACCTGTATTCTTATTTATCAAAAACCCAGAGCTGCTGGAATTTTTGCCGTTCAGTTCATTTAGAACTGAGTTGTCATGGATGGAATTTGAGTTGAGTACTTGACAATCATTTGTAGTTGCAGCCTTCTTCAAAGCATGATCTGCACCAATGATTCTCTCTTCCCTTTTAATGTGAGAATAAGTAGTATCCGCTATGTGTGAATTTTGTGACAGTTTGTTATCTCCACTTGTAAAAGCTGTCCTCTGCTGCAGTTCATATGCCTTGTTATTAAGATTCTCTTGAGGCTCAATTTCCTTCAGCATTTGAGAAGCCTGTTTAAAGGATTTAATAAAGAACTGATCACAGATATTACTTGATGCCCTTTTCACAACTTGGAGGATGGACCTGGCTTCCTCGAGCCTTCTTGTCTTCATCAAGCAGATAGCTAAATTACACTGTTTGTTGTAATCTTGTTCGATCGTCAGTGCTTTCCTGCAATTAAATATAAGTGAGAAATTGCAATCTGCTAGTTCCACATGATTTCATAAAATTTCATCCACATTTTATTGGACATCTATATGAATAGGCATTATACTAATTCAAGATTTGTTTTATTCCAACTGAAATATTTGAGGACTTTCTTCCACTCAAGAGAACACTAATTTAGTCATATCAGTCACTTCTACATTCAAATCAAAGAAAATGACTGATCACCGATCTATCGGACATAAAAAGAAGAAAATGACAAGAAAACCATTACAACTTGCGGCAGATTAAGTATCATGTAATAGAAACTCACCAGTAAAGTGTTTCTGCTGTTTCGTAATTCTCGGATTGCATGTAAGCCCAAGCAAGGTTTCCCAGTAGTCTGCATAAGTTTTTTTTTTCTATTGAATTTATGGCTAGGGTTTATATGTTGAAGAAAACTAAAGATGATCAACATGTGCAAATATATGAGATAGAGAAACAGATCATTAACATGACAAGCTACCTGGACTTTTCATGATCAAGAGAAACATGGAACTTTTTCCCTTTAGATCTTGTTAACTTCGTTCTCCTCCCACCAAAAGCTAGCCCCTCATCAATCATCTTCAGCTTGAAGTTTAGCAGCTCAATTTGGTCATCTATTCTTCCACATTTCTGAACAGTCATAATATGATGTATAAGCAAGCCATGTTAGTATAAGCAACAATGGTAGTATAAGCAAGCCTTGAGAAATAATAGCCATATGATGAACTTTCATAACAATGGTAGTATAAGCAAATCATGTCATGAAATTTTTTTGTCTTTTTTTAGTATCATACTCTGCATATACATAAATTATTAAGAAATGTCCCATACAAGGCAGTTTGATCATTCTAGAGCAGAAGCTTCTCTGCAAAACTAATTAGCAAGCTAAAAAAGCTTTAATAATGTACCACAGAATGTACTAAGGATCGGTTTACCTTGTACAGCTCAAGAAGAACATTATCAATAGACTCTTGTGTTTTAGGAGAGCATAGGTGGCGAAAAGATTTGATTGCCTCTATGGCCTCCTCAGCTCGGTTTACCTGTTTCATCGCCAGAGCCATGTCTTTCAATGCACTGTCGACTCGGTCACCACTGTTTATGGCAGCCCAGAACAATGGCACTGCCTTTTGCAGATCTTTGTCAACCATCTGCTTCATGGTCAGTAACTCGTTAGATGCGATATCTACCAATCAAAAGGAAATTTAAGGCCATGGCATACAACAAGATGACGACAATCAACAGAGCAACCCAGTCAGAGTGATTGAAAGGAAGAGTTGCGCTCTGCTTACCTGGGCGTGCTTCGCTCTCAAGTAAGGGGAGTCGGTAGACCGCGAGTTGGGCGTGGCGTAGTTCGAAGGAGTGGCATAGCTGGGTCTATCGGCGGTCCTCATCTTCTCCACGGGAGTGCACGGGATCGACCCCGAAGCTGCCATGTTCCCCAGCCCTTTCGCCGAATCCTTCTTTCCCGTTCTCCCCATCCTCCCCGATACACAGGAAAACCACCTTCAAGATCCCGAAATCCCCCAACCCTTTCCGTTCTCCAGGCCCCAAACCCACTTCTGGCTGCAAGAAACTACCTTCAAGATCTTCAAACCAACTTCGAGAAGTCCCTGTCACCAGCCCCTGTGTTCTCCCGGCGCAGAAACCAACATCTACGGCAAGAAACCACCTCTCTTTCCCCAAAACTATTCAGACCGCCTCCGGGGAGGCCAAGAAACCTGTAAAGAGCGGATCTTCAAAGATTTGTCACCTTTTCTTGCAGCGAAAACTGCTTTAATAGCTGGAAAACCGCTTTCTTGAACGAGAAATGATAAGCCGGCGACTAACAGGGGGAGTTTGCGAGCTTTCTTCCGCGGCAGCTGGAATATCTCTTCCAGTTCCCGCAGAAGCAGCATCAAGAACGCTATTTCCCGGCCGGAAAACCACAAGCAATCGCCGGAACACGACGCTGGTGTCCTCGGAATAGAGAGAGAGAGAGAGAGAGAGAGAGAGAGAGAGAGAGAGAGAGCCGTTGCAAAGAGGGAGGGTTCAGTTGAGATGGGGCGCGTACAAATGCATGTACGGGAGATCCACGCAATGCAGACTGAATCAGCCCCGAAAACAGTAAAGGGTGACGTCACCAAGACGACGAATGTATTGAGAACACATCAGCCGTAAAATTTCAACGGGCAGACGACTCGCGCGCGCCGTCCCTGGGAACATCCGACGTGGTCAAGAATGTATTCATGATTAACGGTACACCACAGGCGTCATCTCTTTTAGCACGAGTAAGGACCGAGACCAACGGAGCTCCAGGGGCCCACACTAGATAGACCCACAAGTATCATGTATTACTCAATGCAAATACGATGTAAAAATGAGGAAAGTATTTTTCACCCGTATTTGACCTATGAACATGTGGATTAGATTAAACATATTTTTTTATTTTTTTTTATATTTCTCCTACGAGTTATATAATTTTGATCTATTATATATATATATATAAATTTAAATATTATCAATTAAATTTGAGAGTAATTTTATTTTTTTAAAAAAAATAAAAATAATAAAAGAGATAGAAAATGAAAGGATAAGATGAGGATGAAGAGGGAAAAGCATTTCCCGACATCCCCACAAGTGACATGGAATAATAATAATAATAATAATAATAGTAGTGTGAACGGGGTGAAGAGAATGTTTAATGACCATCAGAGGGCTCCTCAAATCATGAAACGGATCGGGGAATATAATTCTCATTTCCCATATGATGAATTGCGTCATTGAAGTGCCATTTGTTACGTTCACTACACGCATCGATCGCCATATTCGTACCACGTGCACGTCCTTTGCCACCCTCCACCTTCATGCAAATTACTGAATTTACCCCTCTCTTCTCTTGTCATCAAATTTGCATGATATACATAATTATACATATATTTAAATAGTAACAGAAATAAGTACGCTTATCTATCGCTAATTACTCGTAATTAATATTTCAGTGTGTCGTCTCCCCAAATACGACTTTTGGCTATCGGTTAAACCGATTTAATGTGTGATTGGGGGAAGATCGTATTCGATCATCCAATTTTAATACTCGATTTATCTAATAATTGTGTCCGATTAAAGTAGCAGAAAATTTTGGACACACCATATGTTGCACGCGAGGAAGGAGAGAGTGAGTCACCGTGAAAGGGTGACATTGTAAATTCGCAGTGCCTCGAGGGTCCCACACAGGACAGGTCATCTCGTCGAGGTGGTGCCCAGCCAAAAATAGGCTGGCTGGACAAGCTTCTTCGCTCCTCGACTCCGCTTTACTCAGCAGGGGTCTTCTAGTCCTCCAACTCCCAAACCTCGCCTCGTCGGACTCCGCTGTCTCCGCACGAGCTCTCTCTCCCAATCGCCGCCGCAAAAGTACCCAATCCAGGGGTTCTCCTCCGTCCGGGAGCCACTCGGTGTTGTGTTCGAGGAGTGATCTCGATTTCGATTGCTTATGGAGAATTCGGCGGCTCCGTCGGATCCTTCTCCCGAGGCGTCGCCGCAAGGAGGCCGCGACCGAGAGGTGATTCCTGTGGCAAAACGACCTTTTTTTTTTTTGAATGGATTGCTAGAGAGGTTTGTGTTTCTGATGGGGAGCCGTGGCATTGATGCATCTACGCGCGTCGTCTGCAGATCTCAATCGATTCAGTTTGTTATAGATTATGACTCAAGAATGGTGCTTTGTTTGATTGCGGAAGAAAGGAGAACAAGGAGTGTTTTGGTTGGTGTCGTTTGGGTTCATAAACTGAGTTAGATGCAGAAAATGATCATATTTGTAGTGTTTTCTTTTTGTCCTTGGTATCTTCTTGAATTTGGGTTGAGGGATGGTAAAGAGTTAAATTTGCCGCAAACTCAGAAGGTGACCACGAGAAAGTTGGAAGTTTTTCTGCTTTCTGTGTGATCAGATTGCTGAATTATGTATCTATGTTGATCGGTCGTGAGTTGATTGAGTCTTGAGCAGCAGATGGAAACATGTTGAATCCTTCCATGGGGTGTCTCAATTTAGAGATGCGCTCCGTGGCTGAAGGAATAGGTTGGGAAGGGTTTGAACGATAGTTATAATGAGTTAGTGGTTAACGAGACGAATGATTGTGAAATTCGATTTTTCTTTTTTCTTTTTTTTCTAATGTTCTAGTTTTCTGTGGTTAAAAGGTTTATGCTGTTCATTTGTTGTACCAGGGTCTTGTTATTCCCGGATATTTTCATGATGAATTGGTGAAATATTTGTAGTTTGGATCTCTTGGGTTCTATTAATACCATTGTCTGACATTTTGAGTGTTAGTCATATGGAACACAAATGATTCCATGCAGAGGTTCAACTTACAGATATGCTCTTAGAGAACGATTACAATAATTTAACTGTTAACGATAAAAGTGATCAAGGAATTCAATGGCTTTTTATGGCTTGTCTGTCTATATTTACGTTTTAACATGTCTAAGTTGTCGTTTGTTGTACCAGGGTTTTGTTATTCCCTGATTTCTTAATCATGAATTGGTGAATACATGGTGTATTTTGGATCTCTTTGGGTCTAGTAATAACATTGTCTAACATTTTGAGTGTCAGTCATAGAAAACAAATTATTTCAACATCCTAAGTGGTTTTGCAGTCATCTGACCAGGATGGAAACATCAAAGGAGAGATTTCAACGGCTCATCATTCTCGGCGGCCAAACCTTACCACTTTGCAGATACCTGCAAGAACCTTGGAAATTCCATTGCCTTCTGTAAGATCAAATGTTTTGTCCAGTCCTGGTTCAGTAAGGGCAGGCTTGCCACCCAGGCCTAGTTCAACAAGGGCAAAATCATCCATCAGAAGTCTTTTCCCACAAAGGAGTCTTAAGACCAAAAACTCTACTCCAGAGGGTGATAGAACAGTTCTCCTGATTCCTCGAACACCTTCTTCAGAAGGACCACAAGAACAGGCATCAACATCAAGGCAGTTCTTTATTACCAAGGTCTTACCCTCTACCAAGGCCTTGTCCTCTGGTTCAACCAATAGAACACACTCTTTACCTGTGACACCAGTTGCCAATTGTGGTCCATCAGCTGTGCAGGAAAGACATGCGATTGACATCTCCAATCTGCAAGTACGTCTTTGTTCACTCTTATATATGAACACTTTTTCCTTACTCAGTTCTTACATAAAACCAAGGACTCCGGGACTGTTTACTATGAGTTTGGATCCGACAGAAAAGCAATGTGCAGACACAAATCAGACGTTCATTTTCCGTTCCTGGGAATGCCAAGAATGGAAGTTTACGGAGAATGGATTCAATAGGTCTTGTCCGAGTTATTTCAGCAACCCCTCGTCCTGTCGCTGTAGACAATGCCATTGAAAATGATGATATAGAGGCAGTTAACGGTACTTCTTTAAGCTCTGCATTCTACAACTCGAGTTGCTTAATCAAATCCATGCTCAAACACTTCCTGCTTATCGGTTTTTCATTTTGATTTCTTCTTGAAGAAGCATCCTCTCTGGATGTGACTATCAAATTCAGTGTTTTTGGGACAATAACTGAAATCTGATTCACATTATCACATCCATTGCTCTACTGTTTGGCATCAGAATATGATTGCTATTTAGTACATGATGAAACTAGTACTATTTTTGGCATTGCAGTAACTGAAGATGAAGGTCAAGATATTCCGGAAGAAGAGGCAGTCTGCCGGATATGTTTAGTCGAACTTGCAGAAGGGGGAGAAACTCTTAAAATGGAATGTAGCTGCAAAGGAGAACTTGCACTTGCACACCAAGAATGTGCTATAAAATGGTTTAGCATTAAGGGAAATAAGACATGTGATGTGTGCAAGCAGGAAGTGCGAAACCTCCCTGTGACATTGCTCAGACTACAGAATCGTCAGACTGTTAATAGGCGCCAGCCAAATGCAACTCAGCGACAAGAAGCTGCTCCCTACCGGTAATATTCTGATAATCCTTCATAATTCATTGCTTCCACAATGCTATTCAATTATAAGCAGATTTGTATGAACATTTTAATGCACATTCTTGATTGATTGTTTTTTTTTTGTCAGTTCCATTCTTGAAAGAATGCAACCTAGCTAATCTTTTGACATCATCTGCCATGCTCTCCTGTGGCTCTGGTTGTTGATTTGCCAGACTTCAATATTTACTTTAGTGATTATGTTCTGTTCTCTTGGCAGGACAATATCATGGATCCGTTAACTAATTTATTCATTCTGCTCAACAATTTACTTCCTGAATCCAAAATTTTTCATCTGTTTCTCCAACTATTTTGTTACTAAGTCTCCCAACATAGTTTGAATCTCTCTTTTATCAAAACCACATGTGGATATTCAAACATGAACACCTCCATATGCAGTATAGGATTCAGTTGATTAGTTAATGATCATACTTTGTGGACTTTTTTGAAGCATAAGGATGTTGTCATATTATTCTTGTTGAAGTTACACCGAGTTTTCATGATGGTGCAGGCTTTGTTGAATCTCCATGGAGGAAATGCTATAAGCATGTAAACAAGTCATGATCTTGGCTCATTTTATAGGATGAAAGCAAGCTTATTTTAACTGACTTCTAAATGTGATCTCTTGGATTTAGCTTGTCAATGGAAATTAGGAAATTGTAGATGGATTGTCGTAGTGATTTTTAATGTACTGAAGCTTGAGATGGCAGATTTCCCATGTTATCATAACGGTATCAAATAAGAGTCTGACTTTCTAATTCCAATTTGTGATGATTGAATGAAGATGATGGACATAAAGTTGTCAAACTCAAAGACTATCTCTCACGAATAGTTGAGAAGATCATGGTCACATGATACCAATATTTGACATGAAGTTAGAAGGAACACTAGCTAATAGACCAATTTCTCTGTCAAATTTTCTATTCGAATGATAATGGCAAACCAAGTACATGAGACAAACCACTTTAGATCTGCATCTTGTACATTGAAAGAAATTCATTTCTATA